GTTCTGCGTATGTTTCTTTAGCTCTGCTTTATGCACACATTCTCACTTTACTCACTGTCAATTGTGAATGATAATTCTTCAAGTTTTACCGGGGAAACATCCATGCAGCATCTGCATGCCAACCATTTGATCTCAATCCGTTTCATGGGAATATGTATTTAGATCTAGTTGTGTATGCTACAGTGTTGTTTTGCATTATGTACAGTGAGCGAATTTTAGAGTAGATGGTGTTAACAAACTGTAGCCTAGGTCTACCTGTGTTTTTACCTGTGTTTTGTTTCAATTAAAGCACATACAGTGGGGAGAACAAGTATTTGATACACTGCCGATTTTGCAGGTTTTCCTACTTACAAAGCATGTAGAGGTCTGTAATTTTTATCATAGGTACAGTTCAACTGTGAGAGACGGAATTTAAAACAAAAATCCAGAAAATCACATTGTATGATTTTTAGGTAATTCATTTGCATTTTATTGCATGACATAAGTATTTCATACATCAGAAAAGCAGAACTTAATATTTGGTACAGAAACCTTTGTTTGCAATTACAGAGATCATACGTTTCCTGTAGGTCTTGACCAGGTTTGCACACACTGCAGCAGGGATTTTGGCCCACTCCTCCATACAGACCTTCTCCAGATCCTTCAGGTTTCGGGGCTGTCGCTGGGCAATACGGACATTCAGCTCCCTCCAAAGATTTTCTATTGGGTTCAGGTCTGGAGACTGGCTAGGCCACTCCAGGACCTTGAGATGCTTCTTATGGAGCCACTCCTTAGTTGCCCTGGCTGTGTGTTTCGGGTCGTTGTCATGCTGGAAGACCCAGCCACGACCCATCTTCAATGCTCTTACTGAGGGAAGGAGGTTGTTGGCCAAGATCTCACAATACATGGCCCCATCCATCCTCTCCTCAATACGGTGCAGTGTCCTGTCCCCTTTGCAGATAAGCATCCCCAAAGAATGATGTTTCCACCTCCATGCTTCACGGTTGAGATGGTGTTCTTGGGGTTGTACTCATCCTTCTTCTTCCTCCAAACACGGCGAGTGGAGTTTAGACCAAAAAGCTCTATTTTTGTCTCATCAGACCACATGACCTTCTCCCATTCCTCCTCTGGATCATCCAGATGGTCATTGGCAAACTTCAGACGGGCCTGGACATGCGCTGGCTTGAGCAGGGGGACCTTGCGTGCGCTGCAGGATTTTAATCCATGACGGCGTAGTGTGTTACTAATGGTTTTCTTTGAGACTGTGGTCCCAGCTCTCTTCAGGTCATTGACCAGGTCCTGCCGTGTAGTTCTGGGCTGATCCCTCACCTTCCTCATGATCATTGATGCCCCACGAGGGGAGATCTTGCATGGAGCCCCAGACCGAGGGTGATTGACCGTCATCTTGAACTTCTTCCATTTTCTAATAATTGCGCCAACAGTTGTTGCCTTCTCACCAAGCTGCTTGCCTATTGTCCTGTAGCCCATCCCAGCCTTTTGCAGGTCTACAATTTTATCCCTGATGTCCTTCCACAGCTCTCTGGTCTTGGCCATTGTGGAGAGGTTGGAGTCTGTTTGATTGAGTGTGTGGACAGGTGTCTTTTATACAGGTAACGAGTTCAAACAGGTGCAGTTAATACAGGTAATGAGTGGAGAACAGGAGGGCTTCTTAAAGAAAAACTAAAAGGTCTGTGAGAGCTGGAATTCTTACTAGTTGGTAGGTGATCAAATACTTATGTCATGCAATGAAATGCTAATTAATTACTTAAAAATCATACAATGTGATTTTCTGGATTTTTGTTTTAGATTCCGTCTCTCACAGTTGAAGTGTACCTATGATTAAAAATTACAGACCTCTACATGCTTTGTAAGTAGGAAAACCTGCAAAATCGGCAGTGTATCAAATACTTGTTCTCCCCACTGTATTTTGCATAGTGGTGCATGCTGTTCGCACAATCATCCTAAAATCTCATAAGAAATGAGGTGGTGTTTTTGATCTTACAGTAACATTCAGACCTGGGTTCAAATACTACTTCAAATATCTCAATTACTTTCACATACATTTTGAAGTAAGTATTCAGATATTTTTTTAAAGACAAGTAGTTGAGTATTGGAATGTATTTGGAAATACACTTGGAAAGTATTGGCAGGTATTTGAAAATACTCAAATACACTGACTCAAATACACTCCCATGCATTTAACCCAAGTATTTGAAAATAGTATTTGAAATAAGTATTATGAAAATACTTTAAAATAGTAAGCTATTTATAGGACATTATTTGAAAATACTTTCAAATACTTCCAATAGAAGAAGTTGATTCGGGCCACATTATTTGAAAATACTTTCAAATACTTCCAATAGAAGAAGTTGATTCGGGCCACATTATTTGAAAATACTTTCAAATACTTCCAATAGAAGAAGTTGATTCGTACCACATATCATTTGAAAATACTCAAATACACAGAAAATAAGTATTTAAAAACAAATAATCAAATACACATGTATTTGATTATTTTGAGCCCAGGTCTGGTAACGTTGTACTATGCTATTATATTCAGTTCTGTCATGTATAAATACTATGTCTTCTTGCAGACTTTGATTCAGCTTTGATCTAACTTGATTAAACTAGCACCATTCTCCATTCATCATTGAAATTCACCAGAGTAGCCTGTTCTCTGGGCAGCCGAACGAATCCCGCACATGCGCAGAAGCTTTGTTTGTTTAGCTATCGGGAAGAGGCATCCAGAGAATTCGGCAACGTAGCCCGTCCGTACACTTATAGGTTTAAGTCGGACTTGACTCTTCTGACCCTCCTTAATCCTTTAGTGCTCTAACTATGTTGTGTGTGCTGCAGCAATTCCTCAGGTAAAGCTTCTTATGGGTTTGTTTTTGAAAGTATTATGAATATTATTGAATGTAATGCATGAAAAAAGGCTCTTTATGAATAAAGTTTTTCTGATTTGTATTGTCTCCTTCCTGCCATGTAGGAGAGGGAGAACACAGTGAGGAACCAAAGGGCCTGTCGGCCCAGCCCTAGCACTCCAACATTATATCACCCTTACAAATCCCTGCTAGGCCTCTAGACACGTTTACAGCCACTAGTACCGGCCAATTAAACTTTGATTAGACTATTTTCTGTCTTCCAGGGAGGAAGAGTTTGACGAGTACTTTGAGGACATGTTTCTTTGACTGCCCTGCCCTTGGATTTCTGCCAGCAAGAGTCAACCGCAAGAGTCATGCAAAAGTCAACAGCAAGAGTCAACATTGATTTGATTGATTTTGTATTGGACGTTGTCTTCGTTTAATATCTGAGTTTGTCTGAAGCTAAATAAAATGCTGGTTCTTTTTTTAAACCTGAGCTTCTTATTCAGCCTCCTGACATTTCATTTGAACTGAAATAAAGACTACAATATGCATGAAGCGCCATGTAAGAACCCAGTATCGGAGTGTATTTAGAAAAAGCACAAACCACTACGAACTCCCAAGAAAGAACAATCTCAAAAGAAAACTAGAGGAAGGGAAACATTCAACCACAGGAGGTTGAGTGCACCTTGATTGGGGAGGATGGGCTCGTGGTAATGACTGGAGCGGTATAAGTGGAATGGTATCAAAAACACATGGTGTTTGATACCATTCCATTCGTGCCGTTCAAGCCATTATTAGAGCCGTCCTGCCCTCAGCAGCCTCCACTGCATTCAACCATGGTAGTAGAGACAGAGACAAAATACAAGCCCAGGCATTGGAAAGTGCATGTATTAACACATCAATATTGTTCCTGTAGGGTTATAGTTAACCAATGTTCTGTCTATAGGGTTATAGATGCCCAGACCATATGAACCAATGTCACTGAGTTCCTCAGATGCTGTAGCACTAGGATTAGGAAGCAGTGCCTTATGCCAACGTCGCTTGGTGTGTTTTCATTAGTGTGTCACTTGCCCAGGGATTAGACACATTGGCTTTAATCACCAGTAATTACTCTTCTGTCTGAAGGAGTCCTTAAGTACACTGAGTTAAACACATGATAACCGTCCATGATACCCGTCCATGATAACTGACATTGATACCATCCATGAGAACCGACCATGATACCCATCCATGATAACCGACCAATGATATCTGTCCATGATACCCGTCCATGATAACCGATCATGATACCCGTCCATGATAATATATACCCTACGACCCCATTAAAGAGTGTGTATTTTTTATTTATTTATTATTTAACTAGGCAAGTCGGTTAAGAACAAATTCTTATTTACAATGACGGCCTACACCGGCCAAATCGGCCTACACAGCCTGGAATCGAACCAGGGGGTCTGTAGTGACGCCTCAAGCACTGAGTGCCTCAGCTTCCGAGTGGCGCAGTGGTCTATCTCCTTTTACACAGTACTATAGGACTGTAGTTCCTACAGGTCACAGACACAGACATAAGGTTGCATTGATTTCATCATCTTTTGATTTCTGAATGGTCTTTGATTGAAAAAATGTCATACAGCAAATGCAGTATACTTAAAACATGTGCTCTATAGCAGGTTGATGGGATGACACAGGATGTAGCACCTCACGCAAACATCACTCAAGGTGTATTGGTCTCGGCAGCACGCCAGTCGGCTGGTCTTCTTTTTCCAGGGCTAATCCAGCTTTATAGGGTAATCCCCATGCAAGTTACAGGCGTCATGACGAGGGCTGTCTAGCCTAAGGTTCTTCAAATTCATTCTGTGTCTCTACAGCGTGTCAATGTGCTAGTCCATTTCAAGGCAGAGGAGGTTGGTGGGAGGAGATGTAGGAGGACGGGTAATTGCTGGAATGGAATCAATGGAACGGAGTCAAACACACAGTTTCCATGTGTTTGATGTGTTTGGTACCATTCCATTTATTCCATTCCAGCCATTACAATGAGCCTGTCCTCCTATAGCTCCTCCCACCAGCCTCCTCTGTTTCAAGGGTAGTGGGTAAAAATGTTCAAGTGTAAAAATGAATTCAGTGGGCAAGTGTAAAGAATGTGACAAGAATCCCACAGACTTTGATGAATGCCTTTATTTTGTTAACATGTTACATCTTATGACACGTGCATGCAGTAGAATTCGTTTCATCAGACATCAAATGTCAAATTCTAACCTCTCTCAATGATAACTCGATTTAATTAGTAGATTTACATTTTTGTGTCCCTTAAATGTACGCGCAGAATAGATGAACTCACTTTCTCATACGGCTCTCATACTGTAAAGCCCTGATCCGAGTGGTCTGCCCTGCCTAGCAACTCTAGGAACAGAGATTCAGAGAAGCCATTTAAGATGCAGGTTGGCTGTCAAAGCCACCCTTATTGGATTACTGCTCTTGATTGATTTCCCAGTGATTTAGTGAGAGAGCACGTTGCATAAGCAAACAAGTCAAACTTTGCCTGCCTTGTGTTTCCTGCTTAGGGCCACTTTGAGATGCCTCCACAGATGTCTCGGTCACTGTTACAGTAGGTCGAAAGGAGATGTCTTGGCAGGATTTGTAAGGAGTTTTTTTTATGGGAACCCCATTGCAATTCAATTGGGTTCATCAATTAACTTTCTGACTGTTGCATAAGTACATTTACACCGGTCCCCAAACGGCCAAACAAAGAGAAGAGGAACTTTGGCCTGCCTGAGACCACATTGGAGGCTTGTCTCCATCAAACAAACATGATGCCCCTCACAAACAGTAGATATGATAAGACTTTGGTAGCCTGCTTTATCTACAGTAAGTAGGGTATTTAAAGTTTAAAGCCGTGCAGATCTCTAAAGCTGGCTGGCAAGCAAACTCAATCCCATCAAATCGTCTTATGGTCAGATACTTGAAGACACTTACGACCCTGACAGAACATATCTGAGGCTTGCCTCCTAGTAACAAGCAAAAGTTTTACATTTAAATTGTAGGTTTAATTTGTACATCTTTTACATACATTTACTACGTGATGAACTACATTTCTTTGGAGCATGCACATACATAATTGCATAATCTACATTTTTGAAAGATGACTGAATTTCAATTTATGATACACATATGTATAAATATCAAGTAATATGTATATTACATTTTCAAGTTATTGGGAAAATGTTGTGCAGTTTAAAATTGTACAGTCGTGGTCAAATATTTTGAGAATGACACAAGTATTGGTCTTCACAAAGTTTGCTGGTTCTGTGTTTTTAGATATTTTTGTCAGATGCTACTATGGTATACTGAAGTATAATTACAAGCATTCCATAAGTGTCAAAGGCTTTTATTGACAATTACATTACATTTATGCAAAGAGTCAATATTTGCAGTGTTGACCCTTCTTTTTCAAGACCTCTGCAATCCGCCCTGGCATGCTGTAAATTAACTTCTGGGCCACATCCTGACTGATGGCAGCCCATTCTTGCATAATCAATGCTTGGAGTTTGTCAGAATTTGTGGGTTTTTGTTTGTCCACCCGCCTGTTGAGGATTGACCACAAGTTCTCAATGGGATTAAGGTCTGGGGAGTTTCCTGGCCATGGACCCAAAATGGCGATATTTTGTTCCCCGAGCCACTTAGTTATCACTTTTGCCTTATGGCAAGGTACTCCATCATGCTGGAAAAGGCATTGTTCATCACCAAACTGTTCTTGGATGGTTGGGAGGTTGCTCTCGGAGGATGTGTTGGTACCATTCTTTATTCATGGATGTGTTCTTAGGCAAAATTGTGAGTGAGCCCACTCCCTTGGCTGAGAAGCAACCCCACACATGAATGGTCTCAGGATGCTTTACTGTTGGCATGACACAGGACTGATGGTAGCGCTCACCTTGTCTTCTCCGGACAAGCTTTTTTCCGGATGCCCCCAAACAATCGGAAAGGGGATTCATCAGAGAAAATGACTTTAACCCAGTCCTCAGCAGTCCAATCCCTGTACCTTTTGCAGAATATCAGTCTGTCCCTGATGTTTTTCCTGGAGAGAATTGGCTTCCTCGCTGCCCTTCTTGACACCAGTCCATCCTCCAAAAGTCTTCGCCTCACTGTGTGTGCAGATGCACTCACACCTGCCTGCTGCCATTCCTGAGCAAGCTCTGCACTGGTGGTGCCCCGGTCCCGCAGCTCAATCAACTTTAGGAGACGGTCCTGGCGCTTGCTGGACTTTCTTGGGCGCCCTGAAGCCTTCTTCACAACAATTGAACCTCTCTCCTTGAAGTTCTTGATGATCCAATAAATGGTTGATTTAGGTGCATATCCTTGCCTGTGAAGCACTTTTTGTGCAAAGCAATGATGACGGCACGTGTTTCCTTGCAGGTAACCATGGTTAACAGAGGAAGAACAATGATTTCAGGCACCACCCTCCTTTTAAAGTTTCCAGTCTGTTATTCTAACTCAATCAGCATAACAGTGTGATCTCCAGCCTTGTCCTCGTCAACACTCTCACCTGTGTTAACGAGAGAATCACTGACATGATGTCAACTGGTCCTATTGTGGCAGGGCTGAAATGCAGTGGAAATGTTTTTGGGGGATTAAGTTCATTTTCATGGCAAAGAGGGACTTTGCAATTAATTGCAATTCATCTGATCACTCTTCATAACATTCTGGAGTAAATGCAAATTGCCATCATAAAAACTGAGGTAGCAGACTTTGTGAAAATTAATATTTGTGTCATTCTCAAAACTTTTGAACACGACTGTACACAGTTTGCAATGGATACCTGATGCTCAAACGCGACTTCGAACCATATCATCAGTTCACACGATCTAAAGAGTCTTAAAATACATGAATTAGAAAATCTGACAATCAAAAAATCAATATTTTGCATATTAACACAAATATACCCTCACAAGGCTCATAAGTGTGTACACATTTTCAGCATTGCTACTATGTTAACCTTAGGTAAAGTCAATTGTCACTTGCTAAAATACAGTAGCACGTTTGCCTTTTCAGCTTGAGTTATGGGAAGAAGTTTGTGCTCTTACAGCACAGCATTCTAAATTAACAGTGTCTGTCGCTCTCTTTCTACAGTTTGGGTTATCATTTGTACTCATATTTGTTCGTAAAAATCCAGAGATGAGTATTCAAATATCAAACAGTATTCCTGTTCTCATTAAACAGCTCAGTTATAAAAGTGTGTCCACTGAACTCTCACCCTCATATCTTTATGGACCATCAGTGTGGATAAAAATGTACAGCTAATTATTTCCCAATGCAGAATACGTCTCAATAAATAGTATTTCAATACAGTATATGCCATTTAGCAGATGTAATGTTCGTTTCATTACTTGGATTATGTTAGTTGTCGATTAAGTAGTACCTATAGTTATCTGTGAAAGATATGCTCTACTTTAAGTGTGCTGTCCAGATATGGTAATGCACCAGCTGCTGGTACATCTGTGTTGAGTGTGTTGAGCCATCAGGATTGGCTTATCAAGTCCTGAGAATGAGGGGAAGCGATCGAGTCAGTCCACACAGGGACACAACTTCACACTGTTTCCCCCACTGACTGCCTGTTGCACACAGGGATCCTCAGCCACACGGCCAGGACTGGGGTACACTCCAGGGGGTTAGGCGATGGTGCAGGTCTTGGACTTTCCCCCTTCTGGGGCTTCTTCTGCTGTTTAAACAGAAAGCAAGACAGCAAGACAGCAAGACAGCAGGACAGCAAGGCAGCAGGACAGCAAGACAGCAAGACAGCAGGACAGCAAGACAGCAGGACAGCAAGGCAGCAAGACAGCAAGGCAGCAAGACAGCAGGACAGCAAGGCAGCAAGGCAGCAGGACAGCAGGACAACAAGACAGCAGGACAGCAGGACAGCAAGCAGCAAAGCAGCAAGACAGCAAAACAGCAGGACAGCAGGACAGCAAGCAGCAAAGCAGCAAGACAGCAGGACAGCAAGACAGAAAGACAGCAGGACAGCAAGCAGCAAGACAGCAAGACAGCAAGGCAGCAACGACATGTATAGCAAAACAAATCAAATCAAAAGTTTGATTGATTTGATTTCATAGCAAGACAGGAAGCAGCAAGATAAACAGTAAGAAGACTGTCTTAGTTTGTCTATAACTTAACTTAGGTAACCTTAACACCAAGGTTAGGTAGAGAACAGCGCCGGAAGAAGATGGCTGCCGTTTTACAGCCCTCTAACCAATTGTACTATTATGTGTGTTTTTCCGCGTTATTTGTAATTTATTTTGTACATAATGTTTCTGCCATCGTCTCTTATAACCAAAGAGAGCTTCTGGATATCAGGACAGCGATTACTCACCTCGCGTTGGACGAAGACTTTTTCTTCAACGAGGCGTTCGCGAAGGATATTCTACAGACACCCAACAAGGCCCAGATCCCCGTCATTCGCGTGAGGAAGAGACGGAGATATCGTGGACGCAGATCCGGGTGCCTTGTAAGGATCCGACGGCGAACGAGTAAACTGCCTCTCCCATCAATCCTATTAGCCAACGTTCAAGCTTTTGAGAATAAAATGGACGTTTTAAGATTACGGTTATCCTACCAACGGGACATTAAAAACTGTAATATCTTATGTTTCACGGAGTCGTGGCTGAACGACAACAATGACAACATTCAGCTAGCAGGCTATACGCTACATCGGCAGGACAGAACGGCAGACTCCGGTAAGACGAGGGGTGGCGGTCTCTGTATATTTGTAAACAACAGCTGGTGCACAAAATCAAATACTAAGGAAGTCTCGAGGTTTTGCTCGCCTGAGGTAGAGTATCTTATGATAAGCTGTAGACCACACAATTTACCAAGAGAGTTTTCATCTATATTTTTCATAGCTGTCTATTTACCACCACAAACCAATGCTGGCATTAAGATTGCACTGAATGCGTTGTACAAGGCCATTAATCAACAGGAAAACGCTCATCCAGATGCAGCGCTCCTAGTAGCCGGGGACTTTAATGCAGGGAAACTTAAATCCGTTCTACCTCATTTCTACCAGCATGTTAAATGTGCAACCAGAGGGGAAAAAAACTCTAGACCACCTTTACTCCACACACAGAGACGCATACAAAGCTCTCCCTCGCCCTCCATTTGGCAAATCTGACCATAACTCTATCCTCCTGATTCCTGCTTATAAGCAAAAACTGAAGCAGGAAGCACCAGTGATTCGGCTAATAAAAAAGTGGTCAGATGACGCAGATGCTAAGCTACAGGACTGTTTTGCTAGCACAGACTGGAACATGTTCCGGGATTCTTCAGACAGCATTGAGGAGTACACCACATCAGTCACTGGCTTCATCAATAAGTGCATCGATGATGTCGTCCCCACAGTGACCGTACGTACATACCCCAACCAGAAGCCATGGATTACAGGAAACATCCGCACTGAGCTAAAGGGTAGAGCTGCCGCTTTCAAGGAACGGGACTCTAACCCGGACGCTTATAAGAAATCCCGCTATGACCTCCGACGAACCATCACACAGGCAAAGAGTCAATACAGGTCTAAGATTGAATCATACTAAACTGGCTCTGACGCTCGTCGGATGTGGCAGGGCTTGAAAACTATTACAGACTACAAAGGGAAGCACAGCCGCGAGCTGCCCAGTGACACAAGCCTACCAGACGAGCTAAACCACTTCTATGCTCGCTTCGAGGCAAGCAACACTGAAGCATGCATGAGAGCACCAGCTGTTCCGGACGACTATGTGATCACGCTCTCCGTAGCCGATGTGAGTAAGACTTTTAAGCAGGTCAACATTCACAAGGCCGCAGGGCCAGACGGATTACCAGGACGTGTACTCCGAGCATGTGCTGACCAACTGGCAAGTGTCTTCACTGACATTTTCAACATGTCCCTGACTGAGTCTGTAATACCAACATGTTTCAAGCAGACCACCATAGTCCCCGTGCCCAAGAACTCTAAGACAACCTGCCTAAATGACTACCGACCCGTAGCACTGACGTCTGTAGCCATGAAGTGCTTTGAAAGACTGGTCATGGCTCACATCAACAGCATAATCCCAGAAACCCTAGACCCACTCCAATTTGCATACCGCCCCAACAGATCCACAGATGATGCAATCTCTATCGCACTCCACACTGCCCTTTCCCACCTGGACAAGAGGAACACCTACGTGAGAATGCTATTCATTGACTACAGCTCAGCATTCAACACCATAGTGCCCTCTAAGCTCATCACTAAGCTAAGGATCCTGGGACTAAACACCTCCCTCTGCAACTGGATCCTGGACTTCCTGACGGGCCGCCCCCAGGTGGTAAGGGTAGGTAACAACACATCTGCCACACTGATCCTCAACACGGGGGCCCCTCAGGGGTGCGTGCTCAGTCCCCTCCTGTACTCTCTGTTCACCCATGACTGCATGGCCAGGCACGACTCCAACACCATCATTAAGTTTGCCGACGACACAACAGTGGTAGGCCTGATCACCGACAACGATGAGACAGCCTATAGGGAGGAGGTCAGAGATCTGGCCGTGTGGTGCCAGGACAACAACCTCTCCCTCAACGTGACCAAGACAAAGGAGATGATTGTGGACTACAGGAAAAAAAAAGAGGACTGAGCATGCCCCCATTCTCATCGACGGGGCTGTAGTGGAACAGGTTGAGAGCTTCAAGTTCCTTGGTGTCCACATCACCAACGAACTATCATGGTCTAAACACACCAAGACAGTCGTGAAGAGGGCACGACAAAGCCTATTCCCCCTCAGATCCTCAAAAAATTCTACAGCTGCACCATCGAGAGCATCCTGACTGGTTGCATCACCGCCTGGTATGGCAACTGCTTGGCCTCTGACCGCAAGGCACTACAGAGGGTAGTGTGTACGGCCCAGTACATCACTGGGGCAAAGCTCCCTGCCATCCAGGACCTCTATACCAGGCGGTGTCAGAGGAAGGCCCTCAAAATTGTCAAAGACTCCAGCCACCCTAGTTATAGACTGTTCTCTCTGCTACCGCACGGCAAGCGGTACCGGAGTGCCAAGTCTAGGTCCAAAAGACTTCTCAACAGCTTCTACCCCCAAGCCATAAGACTCCTGAACAGCTAATCATGGCTACCCGGACTATTTGCACTGCCCCCCCACCCCATCCTTTTTACGCTGCTGCTACTCTGTTAAGTATTTATGCATAGTCACTTTAACTCTACCCACATGTACATATTACCTCAACTACCTCAACTAGCCGGTGCCCCCGCACATTGACTCTGCAACGGTACCCCCCTGTATATATAGCCTCCCTACTGTCACTTTATTTTACTGTATATATAGCCTCCCTACTGTCACTTTATTTTACTTCTGCTCTTTTTTTCTCAACACTTTTTTGTTGTTGTTTTATTCTTACTTTTTTGTTTAAAATAAATGCACTGTTGGTTAAGGGCTGTAAGTAAGCATTTCACTGTAATGTCTGCACCTGTTGTATTCGGCGCATGTGACCAATACAATTTGATTTGATTTGATTTGAGGTAACTTTGTGGCCTGTTGACCACTGGAGACTTGGCTAGTGTATGCATTGACAAGCCTCAGGCACTGTGTCTAAAAGAATGGTAGGCTACTTACCGGTATGGATATTTCACGAGAGATTTTACAATAGCATTTCTTGCAGGGTTGGGGACAATTCTGAATTATGTTGCGAATGGCCCTTTAATTGGCCACACCCAACAGGAAGCAGAATTTGAATTGAATTTGAATGAAAGCGGCAATCAGCAGTTGAAACGATAATAAAGCGTATTCCCCGCCCCTGTTTCGGTAAAAATCTGAGGGGATGGGCTGGAGAAATGTTACCACTCATAGATTTCGCTATTGATGAAAGTCATAACCATCCATGATATCAAACTTATACTTTTAACTATGGTTTGAGGCTATATATTTTTGTTTACGTTTACTTTGTTTACAAACATTGGAGTAAGACAAGTTTATATTTTGGGTTCTGATGGGGTACAACAGTTGAACTAAGCTCATGAGGCATTTATAAGTTATATTCTGCAAGAATCAATGGGTAGGTACATTATTAATTTAGAAGTCAGAAAATTGATGTAGCAACTGCAGATTTACCCTTTAAAGGAAGTATAATTTAATTTAATTCAATGAAATTAAAATAGTTCATTTCTTCTGCACGTCACTACACTGAGTATACAAAACAAATATTAAGGACACATTCCTAATATCGCGTTCCACAGGGATGCTGGCCCATATTGACTCCAATGCTTCCCACAGTTGTGTCAAGTAGGCTGGATGTCCTTTGGGTGGTGGACCATTCTTGATACACACAGGAAACTGTTGAACGTGAAAAACCCAGCAGCGTTACAGTTCTTGGCACCTACTACCATACCCCGTTCAAAGACACTTAAATATTTTGTCTTGCCCATTCACCCTCTGAATGGCACACATACACAATCCATGTCTCAATTGTCTCAAGGCTTAAAAATCCTTCTTTAATCTGTCTCCTCCCCTTCATCTACACTGATTGAAGTGTATTTAACACGTGACATCAATAAGGGATCATATCTTTCACCTGGATAAACCTGGTCAGTCTATGTCATGGAAAAAGCAGGTGTTCCTAATGTTTTGTACACTCAGTGTATATCACTTTATTAATCGCCGTTTGGGGGATTATTAAAGTCCTATCTTATCTTATACAAATGTTTATTTTGACATATGGTGACCAATACTATGTAAACATTAGATTTTTTTAACTTCTTCAATTCAATAAAACATTTAATTTCAATTCATGGCTTGAATTGAATTAAAATTCAAAAACTCCAAATTGACTCCAACCCTTGGTTGAGACTTGAATGTATTTAAAATGTTACCTGGAGGTGCCTCAAGCTTCTTTTTCTCTTCCTCAATGGCCGCCATCTTGGCGGCGTGGATGTCGGCCAGCTCTTTCCAGTTCTTTAGGTTGTTGTTCAGCCCATCAAACATGGGGGTGATCTCTACGTGGAACCTCGAGAATTCCTGCACACAAGTAGGCCCCATTATTGCAGGCATTCACATGCCCGGGACTGTCACTCAGCCTGACATTTTCCTTTATGGTGCAAACATTCCTGCTGGGGAGTGTATCTGGTGCACACTTAGAGATGGATAGACCTACTAGTCACTCAGGTGGTTTAAACTGGATGAACCCCTCACTGAAGTTGACATTGATGGTTCACAGAGAAACTGATCTCATCTATTTTTATAAGGATGATTCCGTTTCCAAAAAGAACTGATAAAATGACAAATATCACAAGCTGACTTCTTTCTAATCGATCACAATGAATTAAGACACAACAAAATAGGGCTTGGTTGAGCTTCAACCAGCCAGGCAGTTAGTTACCTTGTATACAAACGCACACACAAACTGAATGAAACCGCACTGCATCTTGGGTAACTCCGCTGCACAGTTTCTGTCCATCATGGGCTGAGGAGCAATGAATGAGATGGGGTAAGATCAAATCAAAAACGAACTAACATAAGTTAGTGATTACTCTATCAACATCTATTGTAAAGAAACTGCGTTTTTTTCTTTCTTCACAAACTCACAATGGGTTGCTGATCGAGAACGGTCCTTTCCAAGTCACCTTGCTCCCAGAACTCAGCTGCGACCATAAGAGCCACCTATGAAGTAGAACATTTGCAGCGAAGAATGTATCAGTACTAATCTAAACCTCAGAGCTTCCTGTTGTCTATATTGTCTGGAGAAAAGGGTCAAATGGGTTTTGTTGCGTTTCATGACGTAGTGAACAGATATAGTACCCACCTTGCTCTGGACCTCCCATGGTTTGGTGATGGCAGACAAGTCACAACCTGTCATCATCATGGCCCTGACACACAAGATGGGACAGTTAGAGGAATTATTCCAGAATCATCCAAGAATCTTCATTAATGTTATACAGGCAACCATAAACTGTGACAATGTGCACTATAAGAAAAGTGGCCAACTGCCTCAAGTTTGCAATCAAGTAGCAAACCCCCAAGATGGTGGACAGAAGAACATTCGTACTCACATGATAATTTCCTTCCTGATTGGGTTGTTGGAAATATGATCAATTTTCTCCTTCTCGGTTTCCATTGGCTCAGTGGCGTTCACAATGTTCTGGAACATTGTTCTTTTTCTGGGGGCCAGACCAACAGTCAAATTAGCGGTTTGCACATGAAAAGTCATTCTGATTCAGCAGCTATATCGGAGATCATAACAATTGTAAAAACCCACTTGAAGTACAAGGCCAGATCAGTGGCAATGATGCAGACGTCAAACAAGTGCTGCACAGTCTCAAACTGGCGCTTCTGGAGATTCACAAAGATGTTCAGGCTCTGAAGGAGGAGTAGAGAAAAAGACTTCAACTCCCACAATTACCTTGTGTACAAAACACTGGCCAAAAGTAATGCACTATTTGGTTATAGCGTGCCATTTTGGCCACAGCCACAGTAACAGGAGTCAGGGTCTCTAACCTCCTCGGCCATGAGCGTCTTGCTGTACTCCAGATGGTGCCTCTCCATGATGGAGGAGCCGTGCAGTTTGGCTAAAGGCGATCCACTCCTGCAGGTCAGAGAGGGGTAACACACAATCGTTAGACCCCAAACGGCACATTCCATGCCAATAACAGACAACTAAACTGTGATGATTTGGGGAGTGCTTTGAGTGCAGGTTTGCGTTTTTTCGTCATGAATCTTGTTCCGACGGCAGCTCTGCAGAGTGGTCACTAGCTGGCACAGCCACAAAGTCATCAAATCAGATTTTAAACCTAACCCTAACCTTAACCTTAACCACACGGCTAACCCTAATGCCTAACCCTAATGTCTAACCCTAATGCCTAACCCTTTTACAATATAACCAATTTTTGACTTTGCAGCTGGTCTATCTAAGGGGAAATCGCTCAGTTCTGCCTCAAAGACAAGACTCATGACAATAAACGTAAAACCTGCGCTTTGAGTGCTCATGGGTAAACGGAGGGGGTCTTACTTTGTCTGGTATAAGTTGTTGGTCCCCCTGTGGTCAATATCATGGCAGAATGCAGCAGCCACCATGGCAAAGGCATCCAGGTCAGAGTAATATTTCCTCAGCCTGCCAGTCTGTGGAGCAAAGGGGCTGATCCATTATCTTTTCTTTTCTTTTGACATGTATTGTTTTTCTACATACATAACACAAAAACAGAACAAAAAACGATCCATTATCAAACAAAATGGGAGGGGCGGGGTGATCGATCCATTATCAAACAAAATGGGAGGGTTGGGGTGATCGATCCATTATCAAACTAAATGGGAGGGTTGGGGTGATCGATCCATTATCAAACAAAATGGGAGGGTTGGGGTGATCGATCCATTATCAAACTAAATGGGAGGGTTGGGGTGATCGATCCATTATCAAACAAAATGGGAGGGGCGGGGTGATCGATCCATTATCAAACAAAATGGGAGGGTTGGGGTGATCGATCCATTATCAAACAAAATGGGAGGGGTGGAGTGATCGATCCATTATCAAACAAAATGGGAGGGGTGGAGTGGAGTGATCGATCCATTATCAAACAAAATGGGAGGGGCGGGGTGATCGATCCATTATCAAACAAAATGGGAGGGGTGGAGTGGAGTGATCGATCCATTATCAAACAAATTGGGAGGGGCGGGGTGATCGATCCATTATCAAACAGTTGGCCCACCTCCCTGACCTACATTAGTGGGCAGCCATTGGTTGGCAGCATGAATGTCTCTAAACAAACAGTAACTTTTAACTACTCTTCTTTTGGTGAGGTTATGCACCGTCATTCTGTAAATCGATGTGGGTATCAGGTGATAGTATTGGTACTGTAGGAGTAAAGGGACTCACCTGTAGAAGACAGAACATGGTCTGGCCCACGTTGAAGCCGTGTCTCCAGTTGTGGTAGGTGATGTCACGGTAACCTTTCCGGACAGTGTACATCCATCGCGTCAGGGTCTGGTTGTACATAGGAAGAGGAAACACTATGACATGAGAGAGGCGTTACCAATTATCTGTTTGTCACTTTTACCCCTACCTACTTGTACATATTACCTCAACTACCTCGTACCCCCGCACATTGACTCGGTACCGGTACCCCTTGTATGTAGCCTCGTTATTGTTATTTTATTGTGTTACTATTTTCTATTTTCATTTGCTAATTGTCGTACTTTTTAACTCTGCATTGTTGGGAAAGGGCTTGTAAGTAAGCATATCACGGTAACCTGTTGTATTCAGCGCATGGGACAAATAACATTTGATTTGATTTGTATGAGCAAACCAGTAAGACATGGCCTAGTTTTTGGAAAACATTAGATTTGACAAAATGAATGTATTGAGTCATGTACAGTACATACATTGCAATGCATTCTGGGGACGTGTACTGTATAATGCTGAGGTTACAACAAAATAAATACATTCAAATAAACATGATTGTTTTACTAGCCAGGGGCTTCAGGACTGACCTCTGCTGGCACTTTGAACTTCTCCACCACGTTCAGCTCAAAGAAGCAGCGAATTCCACACATGATGAGGCCATGCTCAGTCACAGGAAAGTCACTGAAGGAGAACAGCAGCAGGTCCACGTCTATGGCCACAGGACAGTTTGATCTCTACACAAGGGCAAATGAATAACCAAATATTTATTAATTGATCAATTGATTTCAGAATGACTGTACTGCCGAGTCCACTTTCACAGGCAATTGAAAGTATTACAGTTTTTCTCAATTGCTAAAACACTAAACCCTTTTGTCTGAACCAAATGCTCAGTTGCCTGAACCCACTGATTGAATCAATCACTCTTTTGGCAAAACCATAAGCACTTTTCACCTGTTTAGACATAACTTGCCAACACATTTTCATTGTGATGCACCCGTGCTGCATAATGGTGAGCACAGGTGACAAAAGTCAAACACAATTAGAGCACAGGTGTCACCACTTGAACACAACAACTCAAAATTGATCACACTTGTGGCTAATGATGTGAGGGAACATATACAGTAAGCCAGTTCAGAGAGCACTGGTTTGTGAGGCCCTACAATGGATAGAAATCTGAGAGGAAGAGTTTGTGTGAGAGGAGGTCGAGGTGGTCAGCGAAGACAAAGAACAGTAATATCTGATGAAATCAGAGCTACTGTGATTGACCATGTTCTTGTCCATGGTATGAGCATGAGGGAGGCTGGACAAAGGGTACAACCAAACATCAGTAGATTCACTGTGTCCACCATAATCCGAAGATTTAGAGAAGAGAACAGGTAATTACCTTTTTTTGACATTATAGTACAGTATGTAAATGTTGACAGCAATTACTGTATGACATACTATATACTGTACCACAGTATACTGTAAGTAAATATATGTTTCAGTACATCACTGTACCAATGTACTGTAGTATTGTAATGGAGGGTTGGTCTAACTGTTTGTAGGCCTAGTATTCCATGTATATTTTTTGTAACTCCATGTTCTCTTTTTGTAGAATTGAAAGACTGCCACATGGGGGTGGGAGGACAGGTATGTTCTCCCCACACCAAGAGACCCTAATTGTTGATATGGTCCGTGAGAACAATGCCATTAAACTGAGCGAAATTCAGCAGAAGATCATTGAGGACCATTTACATTTTGAGGGTATCAACAGTGTCAGCCTCTCTACTGTTGATCGTGTCCTCAAGCGCAACAGACTGCGCATGAAACAGCTATACAGAGTGCCCTTTGATCGCAACTCAGACAGTCAAAGAGCAAAGATTCCAGTATGTACAGGTTGGCATATATCCAGACACATTCAATGTTGATTACTCTAAGTAGTGATTTACTGTAGTGGCCTAAATCACTTTTTCCGTATCACTTACAAAACTATATCTATTTCTACAGAGGGTTTTTCAACTGGATGCAATGGAAAGACCCCATCAATACATCTACATGGATGAAGCTGGGTTTAATCTCACCAAAAGGAGAAGGAGAGGCCGTAATGTGATTGGCCATCGGGCCATTGTTGGTGTTCCTGGGCAGCGTGGTGGCAATGTCACATTATGTGCTGCCATCAGCAATCATGGGGTTGTCCACCATCATGCCAACCTGGGGCCCTACAACACTCACCAGCTCCTCATTTTCCTCAATCACATGCGAGATGCTTTGTTAGGGCAGCAGGATGAGCATCCCATCTATGTTGTTGTTTGGGACAATGTAAGTTTTCACAGAGCCCTCCAGGTTAGAGAGTGGTACAATATGAACCAAGGTTTTATCAATCTTTGCCTTCCACCGTACTCCCCTTTCCTAAACCCCATTGAGGAATTCTTCTCCTCATGGCGGTGGAAGGTATATGAACGCCAACTTTACACCAGGGTAAATCTCCTGCAAGCCATGGGACTTGCCTGTGGTGACATAGGTGTGGAGGCATGCCAAGCCTGGATACGGCATGCCAGGGGTTTTTTCCCCCGTTGCCTGGCCAGACAAAATGTGGCCTGTGATGTGGATGAAGTCCTGTGGCCTGACCCAGTACGGAGACATGATGCTGTGGCTGAGTAATGCACTTATTTGTATATTTTTGTACTTTATTTTTACATGGGCTTACTGTACACAAGTGGCAAACGCATAAGATTTCTGTTTGTTTTTACAAGTGCTACATGTAAATGCACAAGATTTCTGTTTTGTCTTTTTGTACAAGTGCTAAATGCACAGGTTTTTTTTGTTTTGCAACATGCATTTAGCCTACAGTGAACAATAAACATTTATTTCTCCAGCTTCATGTCCTGAGCATTGTGTTTTCTATTTTTCTACGTAGTGTTTAGTGACTGTTCAGTAGTGTTTTTTATTTTGATTGACTCGGGGCACGATTTGACAACATAGTTCAGTTTTGAGCACAGATTGAACTGTTTTGAGGTGAAAGTTTGGTTTTGCAAGAAGAGTCTGAGGTTTTGTGAATGTTCTGTGTTTGGTATCATGCCCTTGTCCAAGTTGATCACTCACACCACTCTGCCACATTATCATTGTGTCTCTACCCACTTTCACTGACAGTCTGAAACATGATCCTACCAAGAGTTTGTACATCTCTTTCTGGTCACAGTCCTCTGGTTCGGCATCAAACTTCTCCTTTGTGTTCTAAGAAAAGAGAAAAGAGTATCAAAGGTATGTCCCGTGAGGCTAGTTTCCTCTGTGATTCTCCACTGTCTATAAGGTCTAAGATCTAACATATCTCAGGTCTCACCAGGATACTCTGCATTTCGGTGTTGGTGCATCTGGTCTGGCACATGAGCATCTCCTGGGCGATGTCCTTTCTCCACTCCATTCTGTTCAGTTTGTCGTACGTGTCGCAGTTCAGCACCGACCATCCCAGGAACTGGGTGAGGGCCTGGAACAATGCAGACAGGTCTTTACCACCTCATACGTTCACAACCCATGACAGGAATGATGAGTGAAGTGGTTGATATGACTGATAGAGAGAAAAGAAAAGAGAGAGAGAGAGAGGAAAAGAGAGAGAAAAGAAAGAGAGAGAGAGCGCGTGTGAGAGAGCGAGAGACAGAGAGAAAGAGAGAGAGAAAGAGAGAGAGAGAGCGTGAGAGAGAGAGAGAGAGAGAGAGAGAGAGTGGATGTCTGTGCACTTACCTCAGTGATCTGTTCGTCGTGCTCATCGAATGGTTTACCGTCTTTCCTGTTGAAGAAAGTGGCAATACCCACAATTTCTTCCTTTTTGTTAACGATGGGAAGGGACAAGACGTTCTTGATGACGAAACCTGTCTCATCCACAGGCTCTTTCTGAAAGACAAAACGGCATGAAGTTGATTAGTAAACGCTTTATCCCTAGAATATTGCATTTTTAGGGATACAACACCAATCTGGGGGCTGGTGGTCCTCTTCAAATAGCACATGTTGCAGAGGACTTGATATATTGTAACACCAAGGTCATCCTATACTCAATACCATAGTCTTTACCTGGAAGGCGAAGTACTCATCAGCGGCAACGTTCATCATGTTACAAATCTACAGGGGAAGAAGAAGACATATTTCAGTCAAATCACAATTTTTTCGCGATCAAATGTTTTTTATTTAGTCATAATAATTGTCAGCAAACATTAATACAAACATACAAAAGGAAATTACAGCCCCTCCCCCCATCCCAATCCCACCCAACCCGAGGACCTAAGGGATCAAATGAAATAAACTATATCAACTATCTATAAATAAATAAACAGTCAAATCACTCTCAAAAGTCTCCAATGTACAGTATGCCCTACATGCTTGTGGATAGTATATGGCCTGTGGTTATCGTATGGACGACATGCACACTTTCACATCAACTTACAAAGCCGTTCTCTGACACGTAGGTGGGGAGACCACTGACCAGGGCCCAGTGGTCAATAGGAGGACCCCTACGTGGAACAGAGGGAGGAAGACAGTGAGTGATGTTTTTTGGTACTTTAAGACTTTTTGGTTTCTTCAGAAAGCAAAATAATGAGTGAATTAGAAGAACTTACGGTATGACTTTGATTTCCTCTTTGGGTCCTTCTAAGAGATAGTCAATGATCTTGTAGAAGATGACTTCCTGCAGATGCACAGAACAACATTCACTGGCTGTTGATCGTGTCATAGACAAGGCAGTACAGATTTGAGCAGAGTGCTTGGCGAGAATCGTATCAAAGGAAAATGGATGCTTACCCTTCCGTCGGGGGTCTTTGGTCCACTATATGGCGGTACGTCTCCCAGCTTCACTGGCCACTCATCGTAGAACTCCTGCACGAAGGGAAGACAGCAATCAGGACTTCAGTGTTCCCATTTAGCAACCGCAGACGGAGCAGATCCAAAATGGCTACCCAAATCAAGACAGTGACAAAACAGCAATATGCCTTAGCATATTATACACTAGTAACAAACCTTCTCTTTGGTCATGTCCAAGAGGCCCACAGAGTATCTTTCACAATTGAGGTAGATTCTGACAGTGTACAGAGCTTTGTGGAACTGTCTCTCAATGTCTGTCAACTCTTCAAACACTTTGCTGGCAGACCACAGAAGGACCTAGTGAAACAAGTGGAGAGGAATAAATATTGTTGTTGTTTTTTATAATGGTTATAATGGTTGAGTCATGGATTACATGGTAAAACAGGGCTTTACAGGAAACTTTAACTGATATATTATGATGATCACTGGTATATAGTGCATTCGGAAAGTATTCAGACCCCTTGACTTTTTCCATATTTTGTTACGTTACAGCCTTATTCTAACATTGATTAAATTGTTTTTTCCCCCCATCATCAATCTACACACAATACTCCATAATGACAAAGAAAAAACAGATTTTTAGAAATGTCTACAAATGTATTAAAAATACAAAACTGAAATATCACATTTACATAAGTATTCAGACCCTTTACTCAGTACTTTGTTGAAGAACCTTTGGCAGCGATTACTGCCTCGAGGCTTCTTGGGAATGACACTACAAGCTTGGCACACCTGTATTTGTGGAGTTTCTCCCTTTCTTCTCTACAGATCCTCTCAAGCTCTGTCAGGTTGCATGGGGAGCGTTGCTGCACAGCTATTTTCAGGTCTCTCCAGAGATGTTCGATCAGGTTCAAGTCCGGGCTCTGGCTGGACCACTCAAGGACATTCAGAGACTTGTCCTGAAGCCACTCCTGCGTTGTCTTGGCTGTGTGCTTAGGGTCGTTATCCTGTTAGAAGGTGAACCTTCACCCCAGTCTGAGGTCCAGAGCGCTCTGGAGCAGGTTTTCATCAAAGGATCTCTCTGGACTTTGCTCCATTCATCTTTCCCTCGATCCTGACTAGTCTCCCAGTCCCTGCCGCTGAAAAACATCCACACAAAATGATGCTGCAACCACCATGCTTCACCGTAGGGATTGTGCCAGGTTTCCATCAGACATGACGCTTGGAATTCAGGCCAAAGAGTTCAATCTGGATTTCATCAGACCAGATACTTGTTCTGAGAGTCCTTTAGGTGCCTTTTGGCAAACTACAAGCAGGCTGTATGTGCCTTTTGCTGAGGAGTGGCTTCCGTCTGGCCACTCTACCATAAAGGCCTGATTGGTGGAGTGCTGCAGAGATGGTTGTCTTTCTGGAAGAACCCATCGGGTTCTTGGTCACCTCCCTGACCAAGGCCCTTCTCCCCTGATTGCTCAGTTTGGCCGGGCGGCCAGCTAAAGGAAGAGTCTTGGTGCTTCCAAACTTCGTCCATTTAAGAATGATGGAGGCCAATGTGTTCTTGGGGACCTTCAACGCTGCAGAATGTTTTTGGTACCCTTCTCCTGATCTGTGCCTTGACACAATCCTGTCTCTGAGCTCTACGGACAATTCCTTCAACCTCATGGCTTGGTTTTTGGTCTGACATGCACTGTCAACTGTGGGACCTTATACAGACAGGTGTGTGCCGTTCCAAATCATGTTCAATCAATTGAATTTACCACAGGTGGACTCCAATCTAGTTGTAGAAACATCTGAAGGATAATCAATGGAAACAGGATGCACCTGAGCTCAATTTCGAGTCTCATAGCAAAAGGTCTGAATACTTATGTAAATAAGATATTAATATTATTATTTATTTGTTTAGGGGGTAGATCAGCTTTAATATTTCAGATAGATTGTAACTTCCATCAATGTAATTGTCTGCATCACTTCCAATCCCCCATATGTTTTTTTTCTTCTCGCAAATATATATATATATACAGTGGGGAGAACAAGTATTTGATACACTGCCGATTTTGCAGGTTTTCCTACTTACAAAGCATGTAGAGGACTGTAATTTTTATCATAGGTACACTTCAACTGTGAGAGATGGAATCTAAAACAAAAATCCAGAAAATCACATTGTATGATTTTTAAGTAATTAATTTGCATTTGATTTCATGACATAAGTATTTGATCACCTACCAACCAGTAAGAATTCCGGCTCTCACAGACCTGTTAGTTTTTCTTTAAGAAGCCCTCCTGTTCTCCATTCATTACCTGTATTAACTGCACCTGTTTGAACTCGTTACCTGTATAAAAGACACCTGTCCACACACTCAATCAAACAGACTCCAACCTCTCCACAATGGCCAAGACCAGAGAGCTGTGTAAGGACATCAGGGATACAATTGTAGACCTGCACAAGGCTGGGATGGGCTACAGGACAATAGGCAAGCAGCTTGGTGAGAAGGCAACAACTGTTGGCGCAATTATTAGAAAATGGAAGAAGTTCAAGATGACGGTCAATCACCCTCGGTCTGGGGCTCCATGCAAGATCTCACCTCGTGGGGCATCAATGATCATGAGGAAGGTGAGGGATCAGCCCAGAACTACACGGCAGGACCTGGTCAATGACCTGAAGAGAGCTGGGTCCACAGTCTCAAAGAAAACCATTAGTAACACACTACGCCGTCATGGATTAAAATCCTGCAGCGCATGCAAGGTCCCCCTGCTCAAGCCAGCGCATGTCCAGGCCCGTCTGAAGTTTGCCAATGACCATCTGGATGATCCAGAGGAGGAATGGGAGAAGGTCATGTCTGATGAGACAGAAATAGAGCTTTTTGGTCTAAACTACAATTGCCGTTTTTTGGAGGAAGAAGAAGGATGAGTACAACCCCAAGAACACCATCCCAACCATGAAGCATGGAGGTGGAAACATCATTCTGTGGGGATGCTTTTCTGCAAAGAGGACAGGACAACTGCACCGTATTGAGGGGAGGATGGATGGGGCCATGTATCGCAAGATCTTGGCCAACAACCTCCTTCCCTCAGTAAGAGCATTGAAGATGGGTCGTGGCTGGGTCTTCCAGCATGACCACGACCCGAAACACACAGCCAGGGCAACTAAGGAGTGGCTCCGTAAGTAGCATCTCAAGGTCCTGGAGTGGCCTAGCCAGTCTCCAGACCTGAACCCAATAGAAAATCTTTGGAGGGAGCTGAAAGTCCGTATTGCCCAGCGACAGCCCCGAAACCTGAAGGATCTGGAGAAGGTCTGTATGGAGGAGTGGGCCAAAATCCCTGCTGTAGTGTGTGCAAACCTGGTCAAGATCTACAGGAAACGTATGATCTCTGTAATTGCAAACAAAGGTTTCTGTACCAAATATTAAGTTCTGCTTTTCTGATGTATCAAATACTTATGTCATGCAATAAAATGCAAATTAATTACTTAAAAATCATACAATGTGATTTTCTGAATATTTGTTTTAGATTCCGTCTCTCACAGTTGAAGTGTACCTATGATAAAAATAACAGACCTCTACATGCTTTGTAAGTAGGAAAACCTGCAAAATCGGCAGTGTATCAAATACTTGTTCTCCCCACTGTATATACATACATCCATATATACATACATCCATACACACACACATATCCTTTAAAAAAATATATTTCCCTTTTAAATACTTTCCAACCCCACCACCCCTTCCCCAATTGGAGTAAACTAGTGAACAACAACGCTTAGGCCTCTACTTCCAGCCCATACATACTATATACATTTATGGACACAGTCAAATTCTCCAATAATTATATTTTGTTTGTTTTTACTCCTGTACTTCCTCCGGTCATTTTCATGATGTCCATCTGGTATGCTTCTATATGCCATATTTTTCTAACTGTGCTCTTTCACAAAAGCTCTCAACCTATAACCTATATACTTATTATGGACACAGTATGCTTTACATTAGTTATCTTGTTGTTATTAGTTGTTGTTATTAGTCCCATCCTTCAGCTCCATTCAACACCTCCCATCTATCTCTCAACACCATCCATATTGGATTTCTATTTGCCATATATTTTTCAACTGTACTGTGATGTTTTACAAAAGTTCTGAACCCTTCTATTCTCATTGTTTCTACAGATCGTAAATTGAAAATAAACATTTTTGCTAAAAGTATTATTATATTATTGATCGATTGACTATTACTTTTCAGATCACCCAGTAGTGCTATCTGCAGGGTATGTGAATAAGTTATTTCAGTATTTTATTTTTAATACATTTGCAAACATTTCTAAAAACCAGTTTTTGTCATTATGGGGTATTGTGTGTAGATTGATGAGGAATTGTTTGTATTTAATCCATTTTAGAATAAGGCTGTAACGTAACAAAATGTGGAAAAAGGGAAGGGGTCTGAAAACTTTCCGAATACACTGTATGACTGTTATAGTATACCACTCATCATATTCTTATTTCAGACACTAATGGCAAATTGCCTTGGTGAACTTTGTCTTTGTATTCAAGGGCCAGCATGATTGACACAGTTGATGGACAGCTCATATTGAATGGTGTGGTTCACTGGGTTCTTACCTGACTCCTCCTGGATTCCACGTTGAACATGTATGCAGTGTGATGCTGCGTGGCAATGACTTGGGCAAAGACCAAGTACTTGTTCCAGAACTGAGAACCAAATCAGATTAAATCAATTCTCAGTACAGCAAACAGGCATTCATCTGATGCGATGTCCTCCAGACTACTGATGCCATACACCCCTCACATCGTGCTAACAATGAATATGCAGTATTACCACCTCTCTCGATCTAGAGAGCCCCTAGCAGTTTTATGGCAGTATTAGTGTGGCTTTTAAAGTAATATTGATTATTAAGGCAATGTAGGCTATACAGTATCTGTATCTGTTATGTACCATGTGAATTGTGCTATTATGTATTAATCGTATGGTTTTTGAAAGGTATTCCCATAAAGACTAATACTGAGAAACCTTTCTAAGACTGGTGTTTGCTTTTGAGAGCTCAGGACTTACTTCCTCATCGGCTTTTGAGAATTCTTCAGCCCCAATTTTGTTTAGTGCCATGGCAACACCAAGGCATTCCTTATCAGCCATGATGGGGAATGAGAGCATGTTTTTGGTTTTGTATCCTGTCTGCTTGTCCACAAAGTCACTGAAGCGGTTATTCTGGAAGTGAAATAAAGTATATTGGATCAAGACATTAGTCGCATTCACACTGCAATAAGCCCAGGGCTAACAGCCTCCTTTGCCCTGAGCTAAGAGAATGCCGTGTGAAAAGGCCTTTTGAGTTCACAGTCACTAGACAAAAAACATACCTCTGCTTACCATGGTTTTTGTAACCTGCACATTATGGATGTCATTGGAATGCCACAATTATATTACCATTATCTCGAGAGTAATAAGAATGATTTTCAAATCAATGAAAATAATAATGGGCCAAGTTATGGACATCTTCTGGCTAACAAATCCCAGATTGAACCCCTACTTGAATTCTGTAGTTAATTTATACATGTAGTAGGGTGTTCATGCAGAAATATATGTTGACCAATTACAATTACAGACGTATCTTCAGTCATCCCCAGTTTAACATAAACAGTTTTGCAATCATAAAACTGGACATTTCTGTTTTGAATATGAGAAAATATATTATCATGATGAAATGAACTAAATAATAACATAATAATATGTAGATAAATTAATGTAGGCCTATTCAATTAATTAATTAGCTAATTAACCAGAATAATGACCGTAACATGGCTTCTGGAGGTAAAAGGGATTTTCTGCACTATATAGAGGGACCATTAGAGACAACCATTAAAATCATCATTTTATTGTAGAAACTAAGTGGTTCACATTAACATTTCAAATGAATCCCTTATTCCATGATACATGTAATTTCACTGCATAATTGGTGAAACTGACTTTACTGTAGGCCTAATCAAAGTTTGCATTGGGCAGACTTCTGGACCCAGATAATCAATGCCAGATGACTATAGGCAACACCTTAAAAAAATTCCATCAAAGTGAATTTAACAGAAATAGATGACACAGGTAACAGACATGGTCTAGGTCCAAAAGGCTTCTCAACAGCTTCTACCCCCAAGCCATAAGACTCCTGAACAGCTAATCATGGCTACCCGGACTATTTGCACCCCCACCCCATCTTTTTACGCTGCTGCTACTCTGTTAATTATTTATGCATAGTCACTTTAACTCTACCCACATGTACATATGACCTCAACTAGCCGGTGCCCCCGCACATTGACTCTGCACCGGTACCCCCTGTATATTGCCTCCCTACTGTTATTTTATTTTACTTCTGCTCTTTTTTTCTCAACACTTTTTTGTTGTTGTTGTTTTATTGTACTTTTATATTAAGAAATAAATGCATTGTTGGTTAAGGGCTGTAAGTAAGCATTTCACGGTAATGTCTACACCTGTTGTTTTCGGCGCATGTGGCAAATAAAATTTGATTTGATTTTGATTTGGATGAACACTTTGTATTTCTTTCATTCTTTTCTCAAATCTGCATCAGTTCAAATGTCAAACTTATGTGTGAAACGAATGACATTTTTTTTTAAATATTTGATCCAACGTCTCAATAGATCTGACAAGAACAGTGTGCATAAACAACAAGTGTGAATACATTGGGATTGCTTTTGGAAACATTTTACGAGCGCTTTGGCGCGTGTACCCATTTTATACGCGCTTTGGCGGTTGGGCACCTGCTGACAATGGCACTCACCTTTGTAACATCCGGAATGTTTTGCATCTTTTTGGAATGTGCTGTGTATCCAACTACACCCATATCGGTTGGAAACACAATCTCACTAGCGGGGTTGACAAGGTTTTCTTCGAATTTGGAGGTAGGGGTGACATTGAAGAGCGTCGTTGTAAGCTCAGGTATTCCGTTTCTAGCTCGAAGACCAAAGTAACTGCACCGGTCTGCGTTCAAAATCAAGCAAACTCTCTGCAGGACCTTGTGCAATACTTTTTCCATAATGATTTGCGATTGCATTTCTTTGACCAGCTCATAGATGATGTTGGCCTCCTGAATTTGGGAGACATCATTGAAGGAAGACTGATCTTTGAGATTTTCTGCAAACGTTGTCGCGATCACTTCAGGGCGCAACTTTTTGTCAAAGTACTCTTTGGCGAACTGGGGATTGTTCTCCAGGTACTTCTCCACACTGTCCTTGTCTCCCATTTGAAATTGTTCTCGTGTCCCTCCCTTCTCTTACAGACGCATCGCCCGGGAAAGTCGCAAGGTGTAAACGTGTAAACGGTGGGAAGTTAGTGGCCTCCGTTTGCACCGACGTGAATCCTCTGCTGTGGTTCCGGACAAATCACCAAAACGTCCTGTACTCTGCTACAGGCTAACAGAATAAAGTGGCTTAGAGGCGGAAAGGATCAGAGGGGCCGCTAATTAATGTGACATCATGACATTAAAGCCATAAGCTTTCTTAACCTGCAAATCCCAACACAGATAATTTTATATTGGACAATCCAATCTGAGGCAAGCGAGGCAGGTTATTTTGGCGCGCTATCTCCTACTGCAGCTGTGGTAGAGAATGTTAATTTTGGGGCAAAATTGTTGACTCATCAAATAGACTATCCACCCAATAGGCCCACTTGAGTAGAACGTAGTTGGACAGTTGACCTTGAAGAACAATTCTTCAGTTCTCCACTATAGTTCCAAGCAAACGTTTGAGAAAGGTTTGTGGAGGGGTCATGAAAGTAATAGCTGGTCCCAGCCTCCCAGCCACACAACTCCCTTTCACAGTGATTTGTTTTCATAAGAATTGCCCTACCTATATTTATAGTCAAAGTGAAGCCAAATGCCAAGTAGGAAGGTTAATAGCATCAGTGAAGCAATTCAAAAATGAGCTAAATTATATTAGTTCCCTCTGTAATCTCTTTAACCAGTCCATTTTAGTCTTGGTATGGATCCAGTGTGGTAAACATACTGTAGAACAAAAGACATCTGGGTCAAGTCTTTTTATGGATGTGTGCATACCACCCCACTAAACGTTGATAAACCTACTGCATTATGTTCACAGTGTTGGGAGAAGTATTTGATCTTAATGACATCAATCTCACTGTCAGGGCAGTCTGGAAGCCTTGCCAAGAGAATCAGAGTTCTGAGAAAGACAGGTGTGTTATCGTAACCCTATCACACTGTTTGGCAAGGCAGGACAGGGAGAGTTCCTCTGTCTATTTTCACATTTGGGATTAAGACTGGCCCATGATGTGTTCACAGGGAACAATCACTTCTCTCTCCCAGCCAACACAGCCAGCCACTGAATTCTAGTCAGACAGCAAGGCAATAAAATACCTGTATCACTGGGACTTGGTCGTCTAAATCCCAAATTAAGTAAAAGTGATTAGTGGAATGTCCTCCCTGACAGAGAAACAGAGAGACAGGGCCTGGCCTGGTACAGTGGAATGGATTAGTCACATGGACACCCTATCTAGGAGTTAATCTCATAAAGAAAGCTATGTGGTAATAATGTCGCTGGCAGTAGTGTGTGAACTAGCTGCTGCTTGTCAGTTCTGTTAGGGTCACCAGCCTCCAAGTGGAGAACAAGTAGCACTGGGTCCAGAAAGGCTGCCACACCAGCCAGGTGACTTGTGTTGATGTAAAACGTGGAGGACTTTCCCTCAATCCCTATCTGCTACTGATTAATCAGCCTTTCCCTATCATAACTTTCCCACACTGTAGATCCCTGATTGGATGCTGCTTGGCGAATATCGTTGTGGTTGGTTGTAAACAAGCTTCACAGGTGACTGTAACCAACTTGATGGATTGTACAGTTGGGGGTGTACCACATAATGTTACAAAACACCTCATAAAGTTATAAAACATTAATAATAAGTTTCGCCCTGCCCCTAAAGATAATGTATATATACAGTGCATTCGTAAAGTATTCAGACCCCTTGACTTTTTCCACATTTTGTTACGTTACAGCCTTATTCTAAAATTGATTAAATAGTTTTTTTCCCTCATCAATCTACACACAATACCCCATGATGACAAAGCAAAAACAGGTTTTTATATATATCTTTGCAAAAAAACGGAAATATCACATTTACATAAGTATTCAGACCCTTTACTTAGTACTTTGTTGAAGCATCTTTGGCAGCGATTACAGCCTCAAGCCTTCTTGGGTATGACACTACAAGCTTGGCACACCTGTATTTGGGGAGTTTCTCCCATTCTTCTCTGCAGATCCTCTCAAGCTCTGTCAGGTTGCATGGGGAGCATCGCTGCACAGCTATTTCCAGGTCTCTCCAGAGATGTTCGATCGGGTTCAAGTCTGGGCTCTGGCTGGGCCACACAAGGACATTCAGAGACTTATCCTGAAGCCACTCCTGCAATGTCTTGGCTGGGTGCTTAGGGTTGTTGTCCTGTTGGAGGGTGAACCTTCACCCCAGTCTGAGGTCCTGAGCACTCTGGAGCAGGTTTTCATCAAGGATCTCTCTGTACTTTGCTCCGTTCATCTTTCCCTCAATATTGACTAGTCTCCCAGTCCCTGCTGCCGAAAAACATCACCACAACATGATGCTGCCACCACCATGCTTCACCGTAGGGATGGTGCCAGGTTTCCTCCAGACGTGAAGCTTGGCATTTAGGCCAAAGAGTTCAATCTTGGTTTCATCAGACCAGATAATCTTCTTTCTCATGGTCTGAGAGTCCTTTAGGTGCCTTTTGGCAAACTCCAAGCGGGCTGTCGTGCCTTTTGCTGAGGAGTGGCTTCCGTCTGGCCAATCTACCATAAAGGCCTGATTGGTGGAGTGCTGCAGAGATGGTTGTCCTTCTGGAAGGTTCTCCCATCTCTACAAAGGAACTCTGGAGCTCTGTCAGAGCTCTACAGACAATTCCTTTGACCTCATGGCTTGGTTTTTGCTCTGACATGCACTGTCAACTGTGGTACCTTATATAGACAGGTGTGTGCCTTTCCAAATCATGTCCAATCAATTGAATTTACCACAGGTGGACTCCAATCAAGTTGTAGAAACATCTGAAGGATGATCAATGGAAACAGGATGCACCTGAGCTCAATTTCGAGTCTCATAGCAAAGGGTCTGAATAGTTATGTAAATAAGATATTTCTGTTTTTATTTTTAATACATTTGTAAACATTTCAAAAACCTATTTTCACTTTGTCATTATGAGGTATTGTGTGTAGATTGTAGGCTGTAACGTAACAAAATGTGGAAAAAGGGAAGGGGTCTGAATACTTTCTGTCACGGTTTCGGCCGAGACTGCTCCTCCTCCTGGTTCGGGCAGGCTTCGGCGTTCGCCGTCCCCGGAGTACTAGCTGCCACCGTTGAATGTTTCGTGGTGTGATTGCTTTGGTCTGTCTTGTACACCTGTGTCTGTTTGTGTTCTGATTACGTGTCCTATAAGTTCCCTGTTTTGTATTGGTTAGATTGTGTGTTGTTGTCTGCCTGTATTTCGGAGCTGCGTGTTGACGCTCTGTTTGTTTGTTTAGTGTTTACGCATGGTTTACGTATTCACTCGCCTCTGTTTGTTTCGAGGCCGTGTATTGTATTTTTGCACTTTTGAATAGTAAAGTCTGTTGGACGAAGCCTCTGTGTCCTGCGCCTGACTCCTCCACCACATCCACATCGGTTCATCTGACACTTTCTGAATGCACTGTATATATATATACATATACATATATAGTTTGGAATACTATATTACATATCCAGCAGATAAAAATGATACTTTGTCCTGACTATGGTACTGGTCCAGCCATTCTTTGGGGCAACTTATGCTTTTTGCGGTTTAGCCATGCCAAGTTATATAAGACACACGTTTGGCTTTTCCGAGTTTCATTTTCTGGGGTGCTGGACCCCTGGGTCACGGTTATATGATCCTAGAAAGAAAAACAAATGTCTACTTGGAAAGCTTACTGGCAGCTTTATACCACAAATCAAGGTTTTATGGCCAGAAAAGTAAGTGCCTTCACCCTCATTTACTGTATATGCCCATTTCATAACACTTTCATGCAGCCTGCAGGTATTATGCTTTATAACTTGTTATAATGTATTAGCCTTTATAATGTCCTCTGGAATTTTCTGGCGTGGTATGATCAATAAAATACAACTATTGATTAATTATGTTTGAGCACAAGGTTTTTCTCTTTGATATTGATTGTATAGCAAACTAGAAGTCAATGTTATTTTCTCCACAGGATGTCCTATACAGGATAGCAACCATTAGAGATGTATTTAACATTGAGCAATAAAATGATATGTAACATGATTGCCTAACATGGTTTTCCAGTGAAAGTGAAAAATGTTAAAGGGCCAGTGCAGTCAAAAACCAGTTTTTCCTGTGTTTTATACATATTTCCACACTATGAGTTTGGAATAATGCTGTGAAATTGTGAAAATTGCCTTTTTAGTGTATGTGCTGTTTGAAAAGGCCGCCTGAAATGTCAGCCTGTTTTGGTGGGACGGAGTTTTGGCCTTCCATGGTGACATCACCATGCGGTAAATTAGTTAATAGACCAATAAGAAAGAGAGTTCCAAACCTCTCTGCCAATAACAGCTAATTTTCAGTTTTCCCCTCCCCACTCAGACCAATAAGTCCTATCGAAATTATTGCTTGAAAAATTGCTGTTTGTTAAAAAGCAAGTTTTGTTTCTTTTTGACCATTTTAATACCTTTTATTTTAATACATTTTTGGGTACTTAATTGTTACCCAAAAATGATTTGATGTTGAGATAAAAATGGCTGCATTGAACCTTTAAGAAAAGTGGAGTAATAACATCCCACTGGGTACAGACATCAATTCAACATCTAGTTTTGATTTACATTTGGTTGAGTTGTCAACTAATGTGAATTCAACGTGAATTCATAGTGAAATCAACAAGAAATGTCACCATGACGTTGGATTTAGGTTAAACGTTGGGTGAAAAAAATAGGAAATTCCCTTACGTTGATTACTTTTTTCAAAACCAATCACTTTTTCACGTTGATTCAACATCATCACATTGCCATTTTTGTTGAAAAGACATGGAAATAACGTTGATTCAACCAGTTTTTGCCCAGTGGGATGAGACTAACCAGAAATAACATATTGTAGTTGTTCCAGGGGGAAAAAGCGAGCTGAGACATTTATTTCAAAGTCTGGATCTGGACGTTAACCTGGGGCTCGTACTGCTGAAGCAAAACATTTCACGGTTAGTGATTCATAGCGAGTATGTATAATGTATAGTATTCCAGATATGCTCTTGCCTTTACCCACAACATATGTTTCATAAGGCAGCGAAAACACATTTTTGGGACTGGGGTCAAATGTGCAGAAGACATCTGGACTAAATGGGAGTCTTAGTTGGAGTTATGTAATGTTTTCCCAATTGGAGGGGAGGCTGTTGGTTGGGGCTGTCTCACATCTGTTGTTGTTCTTACCCAACCCTGGCTGTGGCAGGACCCTACACTATAAAAACCTCTGTATGTACAGGAACAGCACATCTAAGGCACCTCAGACTTTACAAGGTATGTTCTGTATGGGAAGGGATAGGAAGGTTTTACATGTACTCTGCTTGGGGTTTTCCTGGCAGATCTTTTATTTTGATTTACTTATGTTTTTACTATCAATTACTTTTTTTTTACTCACTTTTCATCTTTTTGATTCGTTTTCAACCTTTTTAGATTGAAGCTGTAATGGAGTGGGATATGGCTCTTTTATGGACTAGATGTGATGTGCTGGTTGTGATGTTGTGATATTCTCTCATGACTCTGGGCTCTGTCTTCCACAGATCCATCAACAAGGCAACATGCTGAGAATCTGTGTGGCCCTCTGTGTTCTGGCAACATGCTGGGCACAGGATTGTCAGGTTTCAAACATTCAGGTCATGCAGAACTTCGACAGAAGCAGGGTAAGAACAAAATTCTAATTTCCGAAATGTCACTTTCCATAAAGTATCTCTGCTCTTGTCCAATTTGATCTATCAGCCTTGGAATGTTCAATGTAGAATGGAACTGGAATTTCATGAATTGTATGTTATGCAGAAATTGATAGAGCTCTCATTTCATCTTGCAGTATACTGGTAGGTGGTATGCTGTGGCCAAGAAAGATCCTGTTGGTCTGTTCCTCCTGGACAATATCGTTGCTCAGTTCTCAGTAGATGGAAGTGGCAAAATGACTGCAACTGCCCAGGGAAGAGTTATCATTCTGAAGTGAGTTCTGTTTACTTCCAAACGATCAAAATTGTTTCTCAAACCTCCTAAAATTTACCCTCCCTTTATCCTCTCTTTATCTTCCCCCTTTCCTCCCTTTATCCTCCCCCTTTCCTCTCTTTATCCTCCCCCTTTCCTCCCTTTATCATCCCCTTTCCCCCCTTTATCCTCCCCCTTTCCTCTCTTTATCCTCGTCCTTGCCTCCCTTTTTTCTCCCCCTTTCCTCCCTTTATAATCGCCTTTCCTCCCTTTATCCTCCCCCTTTCCTCTCTTTATCCTCCCCTTTCCTCCCTTTATCCTCCTCCTTGCCTCCCTTTATCCTCCCCCTTTCCTCTCTTTATCATCCCCTTTCCTCCCTTAATCCTCCCCTTTCCTCCCTTTATCCTCCTCCTTGCCTCCCTTTATCCTCCCCCTTTCCTCCCTTTATCATCCTTTCCCCCCTTTATCTCCCCTGTACTATCTTGATCCTCGTCTGCCTCCCTTTTTTCTCCCCCTTTTCATCCCTTTATAATCGCCTTTCCCTCCTTTATCCTCCCACTTCTCTTCTTAATCCTCCCCTTCCTCCTTTATCCTCCTCCCTTGCTCCCCTTTATCCTCCCCCTTTCCTCTCTTTATCCTCCCCTTTCCTCCCTTAATCCTCCCCTTTCCTCTCTTTATCCTCCCCTTTCCTCCCTTTATCCTCTCTTTATCCTCTCCCTTTCCTCCCTTTATCCTCCCTTATCCTCCCCTTTCCTCCCTTTAATCTCTCTTTATCCTCTCCTTTCCTCCTTTATTCTCACCCTTTCCTCCCTTTATCCTCCTTTCTCCTCCCTTCCTCCCGTTATCCTCCCTTAACCTCCCCCTTTCCTCCCGTTAGTATCCCTTTCCCTTTCCTCACTTTCTTCCCCCCCCCCCTTTCCTCCCTTTATCCTCCCCCTTTCCTCCCCTTTTCCTCCCTTTAGCAACTGGGAAATGTGTGCCAACATGTTCGGCACCTTTGAGGACACTCCAGACCCTGCCAAGTTCAAGATGAGATACTGGGGCGCTGCTGCATACCTCCAGTCTGGAAGTAAGAAAGACTACAGACGCCTCAACTGAAGACTAAAATCTCCTATTGTTGTACAGAATGTTCCATTGAGTTATACCCATTGATGATAACTTGACTATTCCTCATTTGTACATAATAGCATGCCATTGATGAAGCTGCCTGCTGTCAAACCAACCATTGCTATTATTCTGTCTCCTCTCTCCTCCACATAGACGATGACCACTGGGTCATTGACACCGACTACGACAACTATGCCATCCACTACTCCTGCAGAGAGGTTGACCTGGACGGCACCTGCCTGGACGGATACTCTTTCATATTTTCCCGTCACCCCAACGGCCTGAGGCCTGAGGACCAGAAGATTGTCACCGACAAGAAAAATGAGATCTGCTTCCTCGGCAAATACAGACGGGTTTCACACACTGGTAAGCTTTGTTATAAGTCAATTTAGTAATTAAAAGTAATACTTTATTTTTGTGAAAAAACCAATTGTGCAACTTCTGGTCTAACGTGTTTTATTCCTCCATTGCAGGTTTCTGTGAAAGCAGCTGATCTGGAACTTGTCAGAGGGATGGCGTGGGCGTAGAATTCCACATATCAATAAACTGTAAATATAAACCAAAAAAAACACCGTCACTGGCCAGCCTCTTCCAGCAGTTGGGGAACTTCGCCGTTACCAAAGCCACCAATCAACCAAAGCAAATGATATGTATCTGAATGTACAAGGAAGGATATAGCAAACTTTACTTATTGACATTGTATGATGTAGTCCCGTGTATGATGTAATCCCGTGTAGCTCAGTAAGTAGAGCATCGCGTTTGCAATGCCAGGGTTGTGGGTTCGATTCCCACGGGGGGCCAGTATGAAAATGTATGCACTCACTAACTGTAAGTCGCTCTGGATAAGAGCGTCTGCTAAAACGTAAATGTAGTCTGGAACGACTTTTTAAAATAAAAACACATGGTACTAGTCTAGTGTTTATTTTGTATTATTGGCATCAATGGTTTCAGTTATACTTTGTGCTTCAAATGTCATCAGGTGTGTTTGCCATCCATACAACTGCATTGTCCCACATGGCTTCCATTCAACTGTGACAAACAGACAACAATTACTCAAAGATTGTGTTGATAGTACAATGGCTATCATCTTTATTGCACATTTTTGTACAGTGTATAACAAAGTGCAAAGACAGCTTTCGGATACAGGGCAAAACAAAAATAGAATCAAATGAAAAACAAAGACACCCAATTATCTGGAAAAGGTCAATTATTTATGCTTCACTAACCCTAACCCCCCCCCCCCCCCCCCCCCAAAAAAAAGGCCTCAAACTTAGAATTATTCATAACACACTGCTTGGAACCAACCATATCAGTATTCTGCAGTCGTAACCTCACAGCTAAGTCCTTGTTCTAACATTCCTTGAACAGACACCGTAACCTCTTTTTCCCCTACCCAAGAGAAGCCTTGCTAATCCTTGGCCTTAAATAGTTTAATGCAAGGACTTACTAATGCAATCTCATTCAAACTGGTTTGCAAAGTAAGAACTGATGCGGAAGTGGGCCTTACTCATACATTTACCATTGCAGCCTTTTTTTAATTATTTCAATATCAAGTCATTTCTGGGTAAAAAGTTACTTACTGTGATAGTTGTCCATTAAAATTGTCAAAAAGATAACTATTCTCAAGCAAGAATTTTGATAGGAATGTCCGAGTGGTCTGAGTCGAGGACACTAAAGCGGTGCATTAAACACAGTTAGGATTGTGGCTTGGAGATCAATCCACTGGTCACATTTTTTCATACTTTTCCAGTGTTAGTTTCCTCAGCTGTTGTACCAACATGATACAAAACACATGAAAAACTGAATTGACTGCACTGGGCCTTTAACACTGATGGAATACACCTCATGAATGCAAACAATGCTTATAGAGAGACAAGGTAGAACTGAAAAAATAAAGAAACTATGTGGTGGACACTTGTTTCATGTTCTAATCAGATTTAGGTAGCCCAATTTGTTCAAAACAAATAGAAACCTATAAAGAAAAAGCAGAAAAAACCCCCATAAATAATATTGTCTTACGTAAGTTCTATATCAAAACTATCCACAAAAGATTTTAAATCACACAAAAAAGATAAAAAAATCGAAATAGTTTATTCTTGTCAATCAAAAATAGGTCACTGATTTCTTTTAAAACAAGGCAAGAAAGAAACATTTTGTCATGTAAAAAATGAGCATAAACACAAACCAAATTGACTTCCTCTTATAAGATTATATAAAAACAATATCTTAAAGACAAAAGCAAGACCGAGACTGGCCAGATGTACTCCCTTGTTAAATCCCTATTGGCTGTTCAAGCGAAACAGTAGTCCAGGTGGGCCAGCAGTTCTCTGTGCTGACTGGTGGTGTATGGGGCTCTGCACTTTGGACACTCCAGGAAACTCTCGTCCAGGAGGTTTTTGGAGGGCGAGGTGGGGATGGGATCCTCAATGGACAGCCTATCAAACTCCAGCTTGTTGTAAGAACTTGGCTCAGAGAAACGAGACCCTCTCTGCTGTTTTTGAAATTGAAAATACATAGAAACCTATCAATTGGTGCACAGTTGCTTATCTGAAGATAGCAAAGGTATTCATGACAACACAATTTAAAAGTAGAAATGTCAAAATAATTGAAGTGTACTGCAATATTTCGCAATGCTTACTTGATGGCTGGATTCCAGTCTTGTGATTTGGTCCCGAGCCTTGCGCAGCTCTTTCAGGACATTGTGCAACTGATGCTGTAAACTCTGCCGATCAAGTTTCTCGTTCTCAAATTCTTTGGCAGACAGCTGGATCTGGGGGTAATAGACAACAGCAAATCAAGAGAGCACTGCAGAGATCTTGGATGTTGTATTAATAAGAGATGTTATATAACTGAGTATTTCACAAACTAGAGTCAGGAATGGTTTTGGTTGCCAATACAAAAATCAAATCACATTCTATTTGTCACATGCGCCGAATACAACAGGTGTAGACCTTACCGTGAAATGCTTACTTACAAGCCCTTAACCAACAATGCAGTTCAAGAAATATAGTGAAGAAAATATTTACTAAATAAAATAACAATAACGAGGCTATATACAGGGGTGCCGGTAGCGAGTCAATGTGCAGGGGTACAGGTTAGTTGAGGTAACTTGTACATGTAGGTAGGGGTAAAGTGACCATGCGTATATAATAAACGACCTACATACCTGCTGCTCCAGTATGCCAACTCTCTTCTGTTCCTCGTTTTGGTTTAACAGAGATTTCTGGAGTAGATTCACCTGAACAGAAAACACTATTTGGTCTTAAAGGAAATTGAAGGTCTGATCTACGTTCAGTATTACTATTTGTATTGAAAGAACAGTGGGAACGTGTAGAAGGTGCGAAGAAGAACGAGCATAGACAGGAAAGTGGCTGAGAGACAGGGATCGACACAGAACATTTGTATTTAATCCCCAACTATCTTGAACTGCTAGATTGAACTGTTGTTAGATAGGTATAGATATTCGACGAGATACAACCTGACTCATTTAAAACACCAACCTTTCCCCAGCAACTCTTCCACAGGCCGTGGTTGCAAAAGAGAACGCTTTATAAATCAACTCAAACTGGTCAACCAAAGCTGCGTAATAAAACTGCATAAAGTATCTCCCTGGTGTGGAACAGTACCTGCAGCAGCAGCTCAGCACACCTCTTCCTCTCCTCCTCCAGCCTGGCGTCCATGCTGTCCAGCTCGGACCGCATCCTGTCGGTGCGGTCGGCCGAGCACTTCCTCTCCTCGCTAACTGTGTGTCTGCTGCTGAGGCGCTCGGCCTGGAGCTGTTCCCGGGCCTCGGCCACCTCCCTGCAGCGCTCCTCGTACCTCCCCTGGGCCCGCGCCGCCGCCTCCTTGTGGGCCTCCACATCCCGCTTGGCTTGCAGCAGAAGCTTGTCGTAGTACTCCTGCAGCTGGGAGGAAGACTTCTCCGGTGCTGGGGGGAAATTAAGCAGGGTTACAATATAATACGATCCTCTATGCAACACTTATGGTCCTCTGTAGCTCAATTGGTCGAGCATGGCGCTTGTAACGCCAGGGTAGTGGGTTCGATCCCCGGGACCACCCATACGTAAAAATTTATGCACACATGACTAAGTCGCTTTGGATAAAAGTGTCTGCTAAATGGCATATTATTATTATTACTATTATTATGAATGGGTCACTAGGAAGTACTGTTTGCCAAGCAGACTATGCTTTACCATTGTAATAGCTAATTAGAACTAATTTTTTAACGGCTAATTATAAGCTTGAGTCAATTTCTGCGTCCTCGCGGAAATCTAAATTAGCATAATACAAAATCCCCATCAAAATCCATCTGTTTTTTTTGCAAGGCCTGCGACTCAATCCACCGCATCCGCCAATGGCAGCTTTCGGCATCTGCGATGGAAGGTCTACGACCCCCACAAGCGTCACGGGCTTCGTCTGAAGTCGGTACCGCCCTTCTGCCAACTTCTGTCTGTAGCGTCCGAACGGTTTGGGCTACACACGAATATGACCCTCTATGGAAAGGTGAGTCTCTCACGAACATGTCGGTTGTTTTGCTCTAGGACGCCCACAAGCCAAACCTGAAGGCAGCCTGGTACCAGTTTAAAAAAATGAATGGAAGTATACACTACCGTTCAAAAGTTTGGGGTCATTAAAATAACATCAAATTGATCAGAAATACAGTGTAGACATTTTGTAAATGGCTATTGTAGCTGGAAATGGCTGATTTTTTATGGAATATCTACATAGCCGTACAGAGGCCCATTATCAGTAACCATCAGTCCTGTGCTCCAATGGCACGTTGTGTTTGCTAATCCAAGTTTATCATTTTAAAAGGCTAATTGATCATTAGAAAACCCTTTTGCAATTATGTTAGCACAGCTGAAAACTGTTGTGCTGACTAAAGAAGCAATACAACTGGCCTTCTTGAGACTAGTATCTGGAACATCAGCAATTGTGGGTTCGATTACAGGCTCAAAATGGCCAGAAAAAATAACTTTCTTCTGAAACTCGTCAGTCTATTCTTTTTCTGAGAAATTAAGGCTATTCCATCTGAGAAATTGCCAAGAAACTGAAGATCTCGTACAACGCTGTGTACTACTCCCTTCACAGAACAGCGCAAACTGGCTCTAACCAGAATAGAAAGAAGAGTGGGAGGCCCCGGTGCACAACTGAGCAAGAGGACAAATACATTGGTGTCTAGTTTGAGAAACAGGCGCCTCACAGGTCCTCAACTGGCAGCTTCATTAAATAGTACCCGCAAAACACCCGTTTTCAGCTGTGCTAACATAATTGCAAAAGGGTTTTCTAATGATCAATTAGCCTTTTAAAATGATAAACTTGGATTAGCAAACAACGTGCCATTGGAACACAGGACTGATGGTTGCTGATAACGGGCCTCTGTACGCCTATGTAGATATTCCATTTTTTTTTTTTAAATCAGCCGTTTCCAGCTACAATAGCCATTTACAACATTAATGTCTACACTGTATTTCTGATCAATTTGATGTTATGTTAATGGTAAAAAAATATGCTTTTCTTTCGAAAACAAGGAATTTTCTAAGTGACCCCAAACTTTTGAACGGTAGTGTATATATAGTTTAGTGCCTAAAATAAGGGGTTAAATAAGTGTAAAAAAAAAAATACAAATAGTTTCCTGATCTTCCTTATATCTCTTAGATATAGGACAGACACTTCAAAACAAACTTCCTTTAGATTTTTTTACTATCTGTTTTTCCATGTATGAATCTGGTATTCAATGCATTTCTATGGGCTAATAGCAGTAAGGCCAAATTCAATGTTTCATCAAATATTTTTTATATATTTTTGGGGGGAGACATAAAAGGATCCTAAAATTCTAAATCAAATAGCTAAATGGTCAGCGCTATGACTATCTTAAAACAATTCCATATGTTAGCTTAGTAGAACCCCTCCATCCCCCCAATTAAGTAATTTTGTATTCACAGACTAACAAGCGTTAGTCTAGAGGATAATTATTTTAACCACATGGGGAAAAAATGTGTGAAATCAACCTTTATAATGCGGAGAACATTGTGGGATCTGCCGATTTTTAACGGTGGATTTACTCTTAACAGCAAACGAGTGCCAAATCCCACACTGCACTGTAGGCTCAGAGGCCCTGTTTTTTTACCGGCTGAATTGCCTTCTTTGTGTTGTTGTTGGAGTGCTTGGTTGGCTTGATTTAGTTGCTGCTCCAACTCAAGGGTTCTGGCCAGGACTGCCTTGACATAGGCCTCTCGCTGCTGGTCATAAACCATCCACTGTTGGTTCTTCTCCAAAGCCTTTCGTAACCCAGGAAAAACACACAACGGGGGTAAGGGTTAGATGATACAGTTTTCCACACAACGCACTACGATTTTTGAGCAGACAAAGACGAAAAGAAAATGGCCATTTTAATCTTGACAAATTATTCAACTCACATCTCTCAGGTGATCCTGAACTACTGCAACCTCACCAGAGGGGACCTGGCCATTCTATCAAACAGTATAGAAACACAGGTATTAGAATATATCAAAACAATTGCATAGGTGAACACAACAGATACAATCACTTTCTACGTGAAGACATGGTCTGTTCTATGTGGGTCTGTGGGAAACGAGTCTTGGATGCTTTACTTAAAAAACCTAATGCAGACGTTTTTATCTGTATATCACATCATTTCTGGGTAACAATTAAGTACCGTACTGTGATTGTATTCAATTAAAATGGTCAAAAAACAAAAATAGCTTCTTAGCAAAGAGCAATTTCTCAAGCAAGAATTGTGCTAGAACTGTCTGGGAGTGGTCTGAGTGGGGAAGGGAAAACTGAAAACTAGCTGTTATTGGCAGAGTGGTTTGGAACACTTTCTTATTGGTCTATTAACTAATTTACCACCTGGTGATGTCAACATGCAGGACAAAACTCCATCCCACCAAAACAGGCTGAAATTTCAGGCAGTCTTTTCAAACAGCTCTTACACTAAAAGGGCATAATCATAATTTTCACAATTTCACAGTATTATTCCAACCTCAGTGTGTGGAAATATATATAAAACACAGGAAAATCACGTTTTTGACCACACTGGGCCTTTAAAGAGGACATAATCAAATCATAAAAAAGGGCTGTAAGCCCAGCTAAATGCAAAGCCGCCTCAAGTTAAGTACTGCATACAATAATATAACGCCTAGTGTGTCCTTTAACCAGTCAGTGACCCAGCCACCTCTTGGCAGCGGCAGCCTAGTCATAGTAAGCCTGGCTGGAATATATCCCCCATAACACCTAGGCCTTGACCAACTATCCCTGGAGAGGCTGCCTTCATTCTGCAATCCCTCGAGAGCGACGCCAGGTCCATCTCATCATAATAATAATGTTAAAGTTGACCCAGACGTTGACGTTTGATCCCCTGGGTATGACCCAGCAAACTGATACCTATGACCTAAGGAGGCAGGGCGTCTCAAGGTTGAGCCGCAGTAAGGCCTATTGGTCAGCTCAGGCCCTTAAAGGGACTGGGATCATACGTTTGTCAACTTTGCCCATCCTCTATGACTGAACATATGGGGTGGGGGTTATGTACAGGAGGGTAATGCCCCCGGTGATGAGGGCCTGTCGGGAGGTGGATTTCCTTGAACATGACCTCATGGTTATTTGAAAGTTGGAGACGGATTAGGGCATACAGATAATAAAACTAGTTCTCTCTCTATGAATAAGACTACTGGTAAATAACTTTAAATTATTAAATTGAGGAAAAAGTCATTTTATCAGGGGGGTCATACTCGTCTGGTAGTGTGGTCAAAGAGAGTTCAAAAGGTTAAACAATTAATGTTTGTGAAGCTCTGTAATCATAAAAAATGGCTAACTCGTCATTGTCACTCTTAGAAATATGACATTTAGACGACTGGCTAGATAAGAAATCGGAATGAAATGTCATAATTGAATCATCAAAGATGATAAATAGGAAATGCTGCCAGAGCCCATTCAACTGGCGGCTGCGGACCAGATCCGGCACTTTAATCAATTTAGACTGGCCCCTTGATCAATTCTGAACATTAATCAAAAATATGGAGACGGAAATCTGACGTTTATTGCCAAAATGACAAGGCCTATTAGTGTGGTTTCTAGCAGCTTCAGCAAAAAAAAAAAATCTTCCTATGAATTTGACTCTAGTGTGTGAACAGTGTGCAATAAGCTAACATCACCCCATTCCTGAAAGCTAAGACTCTCAGGGACACGTACACGCCTTCTGTTTCTCTCTACGAAGTCGTGCAGGAAATGTTAGAAGGGCGTGAGAACAATGACCTAATGACTGGGGAAAATTCATTCAAAGCATAGGCTACTTCCCCCCACCCCCTCTAAAATAGAGAATCAAATAGCTTGCTGGTCCATGTTATCACCATCTGTGTGTTAGGGCAGCAAAAATAAAATCCTTTGTTTTCAGAGGATTTTTAAAATGACCTAATTACTTTTAGCCACATTCAAGTGCTTTATAATGGTGTGTGTGCGTGTGTTGTTTTTCATACATTTCTTCGGAAGAATAATCGCATGTCGAAAATGTCTGGCCCCCCTGCAATGTGGCCCCCATAAGAATATTGTTGAGTAGCCCTGGGGTGCGTTCAGATCGCTTCAACATTTGCTACGTTGAGTGACAGTTTGTACTGAACAACACGCTTCCCCAAAACTATGTGCACCGTTCGTCAACAGCCTTTGAGGTAAGTTTGCTTCCGTTTGGTGGTGTGGCCTGATCAATATAGGTGTGACCATCTAAAAACGCAAAACTCTTGCAGCACACCATATGGTAATTGCCCTGTAGGCCACCATAATCCCAACGTTTTTCAACTGGTTGTTCAGTACAGTGCCGTTTCGGTTTAATTCATCGTTGCACACCGTTCCGCCGTACTGAACACAACCCAGCACTAATGCACGCCACCTGAGCTGAGAGTTAACAAGTATTATGTCAGAGAAGGAGCCATTCAGAGAGCAAAGGCTGCCATCTAGAGTTTAAAAATAATAGTTCACCTTGAGATTTTGAATTTTTACATTTACGTCATTTAGCAGACGCTCTTATCCAGAGCGACTTACAAATTGGTATGCCACCAGCCTAACCACAACATTCATACTGGAAACGGCAATGTTTGAATATGGAGGGGCGTGAACTTTGAAGTGTCTTCTTGTCACACATACATTCCCTCCATAACTGATCCTAGGTTAACACAATGGAACAACGTCTAGGCCTCCTCAGTAGCCTGAAGATTCAGCTCACCAACCTGGAAATCAGGATCCTGTTCCTCCAATGCCTGACACCTTGCAGACACCGCCACCAACTTGTTCTTCAGGTTCCCGGTCTCCTCCGAGAGGGACTGGAAGAGTTTCTCTCTGTGCTCGGCCTCTCTCCTCCCCTGGTTCAGCTGAGACTGGAGCGATGCCACCACCTCTCCCCCACTGGAACTCAGCTGTTGTCTCAGAGTCTCCACCTCCTTGTCCTTAGCCAGCAGCTGCTGAGTGTTCCTCTCCCTCAACGTCTCCAGAGACAGAATCCTCTGCAATCAATTGCAAAATGTGTATGAATTGAATTACATTTGATAGTGAATTTTTCTTAATTGAACATGACTCATCTTTATATTATCACAACTCCATCAAGACAATTTAAAAAGGCAAGGGTGCTAAACCCACAGACCAAAAGCCACATGGTGAAAGTGAAAGTGATTGATGGTCACAACAAGTTTATGAATGTGTTGAGTGCAATGGTTGTTTTGGTTTGACATCTTTTCTGTTTATGGATGTAGGCTCCCTCATCACTACTGTATAAACCCCATTACATTTTGACTTTATAACTTTATAATAATCATTGGGCTGGCAATACTAGTTAGCCTAAGCATCTCACAATAGTCTCTTTTTACACAAGCTACTATGCTTTGTCATTTTGCTAGCTAGTTACCTCTAGCAGTTTGTTCTTGTCTGAGTCTGGTGGCCTCGCCGTTCGTTTAGATATTTCATCCATCTGCTTCTTCAGTTGAGCATTCTCCTTCCTGAGTCTGTCCATTTCCACTTCTGCTTGCTTTGAGACACTGGATTTAAAGCCTAACTTGTTGACAATGGTCTCCTTGGTGCTTTTTGATGCCATGTCTGGCGTGTTACCTAGAAAAACAATGTTGAAGTTTGATGTCAATGTATAACAATTAAAATCACTCGCATCTCATTCAATTGCACATTTTCAATCAAAGCTAAATACATCTAGGTAGTAAATATAATAGGCAATACTCACGTTTGTTTATTTCATTAGGCATAAATGCAATTAATTTAGCACCTGCAGTGAGGCCTAGCTAACGTTAGTCGTTGAAATTGCATGCCAAACACAAAACAAACTCAAGCCCAAAACAGAAGAACATGCCTAACTGAAAGAAAAAAAAAGCTCCATAATTTCACAACTGAATGACATAACTCCAACATCATCTTACCAAAAAGATACAGATAATCTGCTAGATTGTTGGCTATATATTTTTCTTCGAGTTTGTGGCGAATGCTAGTTAGCTAGTAACGTTAGCTACGTGAAATACTGTACAGTAGGTGCCTGTCTGGCTAACAACACAGCTAGCCAGCAATCCGTCCTTATTTAGCTAGCTAAGCGTTTGTTCGTTCCACCCAAACTATTGTCTACTGTTAATAAAACATGTATGGATGCATCTTTAAATATTTAGAAAATATAACTCACAATGTAGACCTCTATTTCCAAAACAACAATCTAGGATGTTTGACTTATGAGAATGAAACGGACACTTTCTTGCTTCCTAGTTCAAAACAAGTTTGAATGCAGCGCGTCAGGCGTCATATCCGGGTGTTGGATGACGCGACACTCCTTTTTTTAATCAACCACCACTAGATGGAGACAGAGTACTGTTATTGCTCAGACCAAAAACAGAGCACCAATAAACATGTCATGGAACAGAAATTAATATGAATGGAAAATACGATTTGCTAAGTCCATATTTATTTTGGTCCTATCAATGCATCACTATCCTGCTTTAATAGCACCATGCAATTAGTCAACTTTCTACCGTCTTATCCATCTTTCACTGAACCACTATTTTCGTCCTCTGTCATCCTCTGTCAACACATACACAGGATGGCAGCACATTGCCATTACCAAAGAAATCCACACCCACCCTTATTTTCCTAAATTAAACACGGGAGCTATTTCCTCAAATTATGCAGTTGGCTTTAGTGATGGGGAGTTGATGGTGTTGCACGCGATTCGGTTTTTATAGTCATTACAGAGCAATACTGATTCCTGTTAGTGATTATCATAATGTTGCGTGTTGTGGTAGAATCTGCTAAAGGTCTGCCTAAAAGTAAACTTGGAAGTACTCCAGATCCCGTAGCATCTATTATTTTTAAAGGTAAGGAAGTGCACTTACTTTTTATTTCCCAACGATTATCTTTCTGTATCTTGATCCACAACTCTGATGGGCTACTTTATTGTATCTCCATCACGTTACAGAAAAGGCTGTACAGAAATGTCATAATAACGTGTTCATTAATTGAGAAAAAACACAGGTTGTCAGATGCAGAATGATGATGGTGTAACCTATTGATTGGTTGAATCAGGATGTATTCCTTTGAAGTAGGCAATAACTTTTCATTGGACCTAAATTGATGAGTGTATCAATTCAATATTACCCGAGTTATCATATTGACTGCATTGACATCCACTCTACCCTGTAAATTAGAAGTTGCTAAGAATTTAATGAATTCTTAGCAACTGTAAAAGGTGACTGAAATAAGTGAAAAAGTCAACAATTTTTACTTTCAGATGAAAAAAAGAAAACCAAAACAATTGACAGTGAAGTCAACCCAGTTTGGAATGAAGTAAGTACTTTGTTATCTGTTCAGACTATTTGTCCTTGGGAAAGTTGTATTACCAAAAGAAGACTAGATACACTTGAAATAGCTACAACCCTGATAGTGTGGGTGTGATATTGTAGGCGTCTGTATAATACTGGCATTCTCTAATAGGCTTAATAATATAATTTGTGTCATGTGTACCTCAAGGCCTTGGCGGTGGCAGTGCCACTGATTGATAATTAAGAAATGTCATGTTTGATTACAGGTCCTTGAGTTTGATTTGAAGGGTTCTGTGCTTGATTCCTCATCTTACATTGATGTGATTGTGAAAGACTACGAAACTATTGGAAAAGATAAGTAAGTGGCCCAGACATACACTTCATCCTAACACACCAGCATTAATAGGGGTATTTAGGAGAGCGAGAAACCCAGTTTGCCTCACCTCATTTAAACAGAGCAGAGACGTCCTCTAAATGAAGTTGCACAGAGCTGTCTAGTCTGCAGTGTGATTACAAGAGGTGGCAGGACTTCTTACAAAATCTCTGACTTAATCGGTTCAATGTTGCTGAAGGTGGTCATTAGATTAAACCAACCTCCTGCAAATTAACCCCAAAGGGAAAGAGTCAACTGCAGTATCGAAACGGTTTCAGAGTTAAATAACAAGGCTTTTACTGAGAGTAGTGCAATGGATTCTAGGGATAATGTTCATGGGAAAGTAAGTTAGCATAACCACTCTTTCAGGAGACCACATTGTTGGCTTAAAATGTAACTCCCACACCCTACTTGCCATGCTCAGACTTGCATGCAGTGAGTGGGAGAGGTGATCCGCCTTAGGCAACAATAAATACCTGTTTGTTCTGTTGGGATGAGTTTATGGCACTTCTTGACAGGGAAAATATTGTATTCAGTGAGGACGAAGAAGTCGTGAGAACTCAGGCCACTATAATATGTAAATAATAAATAATAATATGCCATTTAGCAGATGCTTTTATCCAAAACGACTTACAGTCATGTGTGCATACATTTTTACGTATGGGTGGTCCCGGGGATCGAACCCACTACCCTGGCGTTACAAGCGCCATGCTCTACCAATTGAGCTACAGAGGACCACATTGAGCTACAGAGGACCACATGTATAGAGACCAAAGTTTACATGTTGTGTATTTTCCATTCACAGAGGGAAAGACATATATGGTAACAATCTGGAAACATAACCACAGAAAAAGTTTCCAAGGTTTTGCAAGTTAAATGACGTAAATGTAAAATGTAAATGTTAAAATCGTCAAAGCCTTGTATGTTATGAAGGCAACACATATACGTTACAGAATGTCCAGGTTTTAGTGAGATAAATTCAGTAAAATGATCATGTCTGTGAATCTACCTGTCTGTGGTCCTCTGTAGCTCAGTTGGTAGAGCATGGCGCTTGCTACGCCAGGATAGTGGGTTTGATTCCTTGGACCACCCATACTTAAAATATGTGCATGCATGACTGTAAGTTGCTTTGGATAAAAGTGTCTGCTAAGTATTATAATTGTATGTATGTAATGCAGCTTAGCTACATTCTGCAACTCAGCATAGTTGAAATCGGGGGTATGATTTTCAAGTTTTGTCAGGTATATGCATGCATCAGTGCAGGCCATATGATGTGTGTAAAGCTTTCCATTGAGTTAGCCTAGTCTGACACACTCTGATGATGTGGTGGAGTGTAGGGACTCCTCTCTCACATAGTTTTACAGGGTCTGTTATGGTACTTTGTAACCCTAGCAACTTCGGAGAGAAACGTTTAACCTTGTGGTTCTGGATTTATTAGATTTGGGCAGGAATTCCTCAAATGATCCCAAAAAAGATATGCTAGTTTAACAGAGTCACACAAATAAGACATTTTTGTCAAAGATGCTGACTTTATGGTTGGTCAATGTCATTATGTGTTGACATACCTGAATACTCATGCTATGTAACAGGGCAGCATAAATTACATGGCTACGACAAGGAAATGTCTACTGTGGTTGACATAGGAAGGCTGCTGGCAAACATTATGGTCAGTGGGTGGAATGACTCCACACTTTGGTAAAAGCAGATCGGGTTCTGTCGGCACACCTGTCTGCATTTAATGACCTGAAAATGTCAGGCTGACGGACATACACCAGTTAACATGGAATGCAAGGAGGAAGGAAAATAATGTTATGAGAGGCTGACATTGTAATCCTAGACAATAATTACATCCCAGAGCGTTTCGCCATAGTGGTCTGTTACTAACTGCGTTACCCTAGCAACAGACAAGAACCAACATATTCTACAGATGGCAATGCTCACTGACTCACTAACCCCTCCCTATTGGCCACAAATATTTTTTGGACTGAAGGTATTGCAGGGATGATTGTTTTGTTAATATCACAGAAATGTTACTATTGTCACAAGGAAAGGGCAGAACATCCTCTGAATTATTATCCTGCACTCTCCATATAATTCATGTTTCAGCCTCCCAGAGGTAGAAGAGATGTCTGAACACTGCCTGGGGAATGTAATATTCCCAATGAGCAGAGTGACCAGTAGAGATAAATTGTAAAGTAAAACAAATGAGAAATTACATTATTAACACTAGCCACCTGGATCTGTATGAACATTATTCATGATTGGAGGGTAAAGATTAAAATCCTTGGAAAAGTTGTAACATTACATTTGACATTTTAGTCATTTAGCAGACGCTCTTATCCAGAGCGACATACAGGCGCAATTAGGGTTAAGTGCCTTGCTCAAGGGCACATTGAGAAAATGTTCACCTAGTCGGCACGGGGAATCAAACCAGAAACCTTTCAGTTACTAGCTTAACGCTCTTAACCACTAAGCTACCTGCCACCCAACATCGTTTGTGCATACAGTACATAGGTGATGTGGGAAGGCAAGTTAGATCAAACTATCAAACTTCAGATTGTGCTGGTGGGAGGAGCTATAGGAGGGCGGGGTTATTGTAATGGCTGGAGTGGAATGAATGGAATAGAGTCAAACATGTGGTTTCCATTGTTTGATACCGTTCCACTGATTCCAGTCCAGTCTTTACAACGAGCCCTTCCTCCTATAGCTCCTTCCACCAGCCCAATCTGGAGAGCAAAGCTTACTAGTAAATATTTTGATATACCTTGATGAAATCTCTATTTGATTGCTCCTGTGTGATGCCAGGTTCCTGTTCTTTGTGGGTGTGTTTGACTGGGTGTGTTTGTTAACTTTGGGAGGAGGCCACCCCAATGCCTTTTCTCATGGTGACATCACTGAGCACACAGAAGGCTTTTCCGTCATCATCTGCTCACTGCACTCATGACTAGATGTAATCTCTATTCTTAAATAAAGAAGTTGTATTTTATTTATTTAACCTTTATTTATGCAGGTGAGTCAATTAAGCACAAATTCTTATTTACAATGATGGCCTGAGTCAGTAGCCTGATGTATCACAATCTTCATACTTCCATATTTGATAGCATCAAAGATCATTATGGTCAGCACTCTCATTCAGTGCCTATAGAAAGTCTACACCCCCTTGAACTTCTTTCACATTTCGTTACGTTACAAACTGGGATTGAAATAGATTTAATTGAAATTTTTGTGTCATTGAGCTACACAAAATACTCCGTAATGTCAAAGTGAAAAGAAAATTCTACACATTTTTACAAATTAATAAAAATGTAATAACTAAAATATAGTCGTTGCATAAGTATTCAGTCCCTTTGTTTAGGAAAGCCTACATTTTTCAGATGTAAAATCTGGCTTAACAAATCACATTATAAGTTACATGGACTCACTCCGTCTGAAATAATAGGGCTTGATCTGTCCCCCATACATACAACATCTGTAAGGTCCCTCAGTCAAGTATTGAATTTCAAGCCCAGATTCAACTACAAAGACCAGGAAGCTTTTCGAAAGCCTCATAAAGAAGGACAGTGATTGGTAGATGGGTAACAATAACAAACCTGTCACGCCCTTGCTCTGGGGACTCTAGTATGTTGAGCCAGGGTGTGAGTTTTCATGCGTTTTCCATTCTAGGTTAAGTATTTCTATGTTGGCCAGTGTGGTTCTCAATCAGAGGCAACGAGTGTCAGCTGTTGCTGGTTGTCTCTGATTGGGAACCACATTTAGTCAGGCTGTTTTCCCACAGTGGTTGTGGGATCTTGTTCCAAGTAGGTTGTGTTTGATCTAAGGACGTCACGTTATCGTTCGTGTTAGCGTTCAATAAATAAGTATGTTTGCATTCAACGCTGCGCCTTGGTCCTCTGTTCCCGACGATCGTGACAAAATCAGACATTGAATATCTTTAAGCATGGTCAAGTTAATAATTATACTGTGGATGATGTATTAAACCACCCAGAAACATCAAAGATGCAGTCGTCCTTCTGAACTGAGCTGCAGGAGAGGAAGGAAACTGCTTAGGGGCCATTGGTGATTTTAAAACAGCTACAGAGTTCAATGGCTGTGATGGGAGAAAACTGAGGATGGATCAACAACATTGTAATGACTCCACCATAATGAACTGAATGACAGAGTGAAAAGAAGAAAAAATATATACTGAATAAAAATATTCTAAAACATGCATCCTGTACGCAACAAGACACTAAAGTAAAAGATCCAGGCTCTGTCGTAGCCGGCCGCGACCGGGAGACCCATGGGGCGGCGCACAATTGGCCCAGCGTCATCCAGGGTAGGGGAGGGAATGGCCGGCAGGGATGTAGCTCAGTTGATAGAGCATGGCGTTTGCAACGCCAGGGTTGTAGGTTCGATTCCCACAGGGGGCCAGTATGGAAAAAATTATAATTTAAAAAATGTATGCACTCACTAACTGTAAGTCGCTCTGGATAAGAGCGTCTGCTAAATGACTAAAATGTAAATGTAAATGTAAAAGTGCAACAAAAACACAGCAAAGGAATACACTTCATGGCCTAAATGCAAAGCTTTATGTTTGGGGCAAATCCAACACAACACATCACTGAGTAACTAACTGCCTCCTTATTTTCAAGCATGGTTGTGGCTGCATCATGGTATTGGTATGCTTGACATCGGCAAAGACCTGGGGAGTTTTTCAGGATGAAAAGAAACGGGATGGAGCTAAGCACAGGCAAAATCCTAGAGGAAAACCGGCTTCAGTCTGCTTTACACCAGACAGTTGGAGAGGAATTCACCTTTCAGCAGGACAATAACCTACAACACAAGGCCAAATCTACGCTGGAGATGCTTACCAAGATGACAGTGAATGTTCCTGAATGGCCAAGTTACAGTTTTGACTTAAATCTGCTTGAAAATCTATGGCAAGGCTTAAAAATTGCTGTCTAGCAATGATCCCCAACACCTTGACAGAGCATGAAGAATTTTGAAAATAATAATGGGTGAATATATTGCACAATACAGGTGTGCAAAGTGCTTATGAGACTTACCCAAGAAGACTCACTGCTGTAATCGCTGCCAAAGGTGTTTCTAACATGTAATGACTCAGGGGGTGAATACTTTGTTTCATTACTCATTGACATTAGAGTATTTTGTGTAGAACATTGAAAAATTACAAATCAATTTTAATCCCACTTTGTAACGCAATAAAATTTGAAGAAATCCAAGGGGGGTTTCTATAGGCACTGTAGTTGATTCAGTTGGCTAGTGGCCAAATCGCCGCTCTCAAGAACTCTACTGATAAGGATATTGTTGCAGTTTTTAATTTATTACATGCACTTGATGTTTAATCAAAGACACATTATCAAAATGAATTTCATACCTCACCTTTGTATAGTAGGAATGCTTTATTTGTTTTTACAGCTAGCCATATCTGAAAGTTTACCCTTGTTTTGTAGGTTTCTCGGCTCTGCAAAAATCTCACTGAAAGACCTTGCAACTGGTCAAGTCAAATCCTTTCCATTTAAAGATCTGGCTCTTGTCAATGAAAAGGGACAGGCTATTGGGGTAAGTTGTTCACTATTTACTAATGGAGATTGCCGCTACTCACCAGCTACCAGGGATATGGGCAAAATAATCATGAAATCAGCTGAAATTGAAACACCTGCAGTCCCCATTATCCCATTGTAATTCATTACATTATATTAGTATTAGCATAACTACAATAACCACATCAGCACCAAAAATCTCATGCAATTTTCCATTTAGAATTTTGATATCAGCACATTTTGATGAGATGATTGATTGATTCCACCAATTATTCACCTTCCAGGCCACGGTGAGCCTTGTTATTCACTATAACCCTCCAGCCAATGCCGCTCCAAACCCAAATGACCCACAGGCAGGAGATGCTGCAGGGGATTCTGGTACGTCATGTGTTCTCATAGACTTAGATAGACAACTCATCATTGTATCGGTCCCATTATGGTGCCTGTGAGAGAATGGGCTGCGCCATCGAGGCCATCTCCATTTTGAGGTAGTCCATTTTCTTCTTCTAATACTTCTATGAGTTGGTAAACAAACTGATTGTAAAAAAAGAGCTGTCTGGTATGCTTGCGTTAATCATCAAAATAAGAAAGAAACATCAGGGAAAGATTGGCTTGTTACTTTTGCCTATCAACCAGGAAGTGCCATTGACAGGGGCAGGATTATGAAAGGCCTATGAGTTTATTTGGATACTTGTATTACTAAAGGCAACAACTAATCTTTGTGCTGTTGATTATACTTTATATCTGGTGACTGTGGTTGAGGTTGTGCTATGTGTGTCTGCAGTGGAAGGTAAAGAGGGGGATGAGGACTTGACTGATGCAGGACAGAGTGGCTCTGCAGGGGGAGTCTCCTCCCCTGGTCAGCCTGGGAACCAAAGACTGGTCAAGAAAACCAGGAAATTGAACCGTCCCCTGGCCAATAAACCTCAGGACTTTCAGGTGAATTCTGGCATAGGGGTTGTAACGTCTATCTAATCAAAAGCCATGAATTATGATTTGACATTGTTCTGATTCCCTTTTCTCATACTCATGATCTCTTACCTTCAGATCCGTGTCAGGATCATAGAGGGGCGACAGCTTCCTGGGAATAACATCAAACCTGTTGTGAAGGTGAATGTTTGTGGACAGACTCACAGAACAAGGATCAAGAGGGGAAACAATCCCTTCTTTGATGAGGTAAAAGAAGGCATATTAATTTAACTTAAATTGACTAAGTCCATGTGTGCTTAGCAAATGTTGAATTATTGCTTGAGAAATGACTGCAGTTGATTTGTCCTGAAGGTTAATGTGGATTTGCTTTTTTCATTAAACCACCCAGATTCCTTTTTCTCTTTACAGATGTTCTTTTACAACGTCAACATGTTACCATCGGACCTATTTGATCAACATGTCAGCATTCGGGTAAGTGTGGTCCTCTGTATCAACATGTCAGCATTCGGGTAAGTTGAACTCAACGTTAGTAATTTGGCACTAACTGATCTGAACCGTCAGAGACCATGTATTGCATTTCATTCTCACTCTAATAAACAGTACTCTCCTTCTGTAGGTGTACGACTCCTTCTCTCTGAGAGCTGACAGTCTCATGGGGGAGTTCAAGGTACTCCATCTTTCCCTTCCACTTCTTATTAAAACATTGAAGGATCTGACTTTATATTCCATTACTCTTGACATATGCATTTTATCAGTCTGAAGTATTTCCCATCTTGCTTCCCACAGGTTGATATCAGCTTCATCTATGATGAACCAGGTATATTTATGGTGCCTTGCACAGTATTTGCATACACTGTGTCTGATTTCCATTGGCTCAATGGAGGTACATGTTGTGCATGTGCCTGTCTGTCTCGGTCTGTCTCACAGCTCACTCTGTAATGAGGAAGTGGCTCCTCCTGAATGACCCTGATGAATCCAGCTCGGGGGCCAGGGGATACCTCAAAGTCAGCATGTTCATCGTTGGGGCGGGAGACGAACCACTGGTACAGTAGTAGTCTGGGTTACCGCTCACAGTTCCTGTTGGCATGATTGATAACTGAACACTAGTCGGGAGCATCTTCATGATCTGGATGAACCCATTCCTGTATTATGACTTGTCAGAGCTAAATGAATCTCCTTGTCAGGTCACATGTACCTGAAAATAACGTCTGTCCCTATCATAGTGAAGTGTGACAACTGTGCGTGTGTGTGTGGCTTCTGCAGGTAGAGAAGAGGGATATTAATGATGACCAGGATGACATAGAGAGTAACCTGCTGCTGCCAGCAGGGGTCACACTGCGATGGGTCACCCTGTCTCTCAAAGTGTTCCGGGCCGAGGACATTCCCCAGAGTACGCCACTCGTATATATAATGTTCTGTTGCTGCTGTTGTGGTTGACTTGTTCTGTTGCTGCTGTTGTGGTTGACTTGTTCTGTTGCTGATGTTGTGGTTGACTTGTTATGCTTCAAGGCTCTTCAGCCTAACTCTCAAGTGCTTTCTCTCTACGCTAAAGATAGGTGTGATTCCGAACTAACTATTCATTTAGAAGTTTCTAAATCTGCATCTCTCAATTAAGATTGTTTCAAGATGCAAGTAAGTACATCAAAGTTAAAGGAGTTGTTCACTATTTTACAACGTGATGTTAGATGGTTCCTCACCCTGAAAGTAGTCTATGGGCCAGGAGAAACTGCCATAGACTACTTACAGGGTGAGGAACCATCTAACGTCAAGTTGAAATAGTGAACTACTCCTTTAACCAGTGTGTTTTTCACTATAGTGGATGATGCCTTTGCCCAGTCATTGAAGGGGATGTTTGGAGGGGATGGGGACAAGAAGAATCTAGTGGACCCTTTTGTCGAGGCTTGCTTCGCTGGCAAAAAGGTATTCACATTACTCTCCACCTAAAATTCGAATCAAGGGGTGGATTTGTTTATTATGGAAATAGTTGTGAAGTTGATATGTGAATGTTTATTGTTGAAGCTGTGCACCAAAGTCATTGAGAAGGATGCCAACCCAGAATGGAACCAAATGCTGAATCTTCAGGTCAAGGTAAAAAAAAAATATATAAAAAAAGCACATCTAATGCACTGGATTTCTGCTTTGGTAAATTGTGATTCAAAACGATGATCCTGCAAAATCTTTCTGCAGTTCCCCTCCATGTGTGAACAAATCAAACTGACCATCTTTGATTGGTAAGTCAACAGCATTCCCTCTACTGAACACTTATGATGGACATATGTATCCATTTAAATCACTCCATTTGAGCTCTGGCAGTTTTCTTCCGCCTCACCTCACTTCTTTATTACAGTATTCGGATGCATACTTCCTCCGTTTTTACACAAATAAGGGCCAGGAGTTTTTCCTGGTCACAAGGCTCAGAAAAACCTCAGGAATGTACATAGTGTGTATTCAGCCCCCTTAGAGTGCCCCAGTGCTCGCTCCCTGCGACCTGCCTGTAGACGTCTCCAGAGTGTGGTCCAGTCAGTTGTTATTTGGCCTGGGAGGAACCCGGCAGTGCTATAGTATGAGTCAGACAGTCAGTCACTCCCTGTTCCAGGCCGGGATCCTGTTGGCAGGGAAACACCCCTGTAACCTCTGTCAGTTGCTACAGGGAAAAGTGGGAATAGTAGGAAATAGGTGCAAGTCAAAGATTAGGAAAACAGTCTGTCCCCTAAATGTGATGAAAGTGAAGTTCATTCACATTGGTGGGTGTCAATGTCATGTTGATATAGCACCTTTTATGCAGGGATCGCCTGACGAGGAATGACTGTATTGGCACCATGTACTTGAATCTGGCCAAAATAGCATCCTCTGGTGGCGAAATTGAAGGTATGGTTCTCGTATTAATTACAACACACCACACTATATTTCTCCCTTTCACGATGTCTATAGCTCAAGTATATGATTTCTATGCTATTGTCATCATAGCTTCTAGTATAATGGTGTTATTTGGTGTAATTACACTATGTCCATTCACTTTGGTTGTTAAATGAATGGATCAACTCTATTCATCTCTATACTCAGTTTTAACTTTCTAATATACAGTTCATCCACTTTTCTTTTTCTCTTGGTATAGACAAACATGCGGGATATGGCTTCTCTCCATCACTTGAAGGTTCAATAGATGAATAGATATGTGGTGAATTGTTAAAGTATCGTCCAGTGCAAAAATCCAGTATCACTAACAAGTTGCAATATTTTATACGTCACATCGGTACATTCCACTGATTCTAGCCCAGCATGACATTTCAAATAATCTAGAATGGAGGAATCTAGAATGGAGTTAAAGGAATTTAGAAGGGATCCAATTTGACCAATTTGAATCATTGACTGTGATTACTGCATTGGATTTACTTTGAGAATGTGTGACTGCCATGAGTTGTGCCCGGTCCACTCATTTCTGTAGCCCTTTGAGTACAATAGTAGGATTTTTGAGTGAAGTAAACACACATATCAGTTCAAAGTTGACCTTCCTCGGTACTCAAAAGTTTACAGCGAAACAATTTTGCTTCACCTAACCTTCCCCTTAACCCTTGATATTCAGTTATGGAATTTTGATAACATTTGCATGCTTTGTTTGTGCTGTCACAGAACTGCCTGCTATCCTTTTGTTGTCAAAGATGGAGAGCAAACTCCTTTGCTTCATTTGCTGCATGTGTTGCATTTCTGAGTTGCTGTGTGAGGCTGACATTCTTTCTGTAACCTAACACTCCAATGAAAAATAAAAAACGGCATATGACTCCTGTGAGTTTGCCCGGGCAGATACCCTAACTGTAGTTTTTGTAGATTTGCTAGCACTGTGTGCTGTGTTCACCATTCTCCATCCAAGACATCATCTTCTGACATGCAGAACTAACTCCACAGTAGCTCATCATTTAGAGACATTAGTAAAAAGCATGATTTCCTCCACAGGGAAGACTGGGGAGTCTGAGGTGGGTTTCCTGCCAGCCTTTGGGCCTTGCTATATCAACCTGTATGGGAGTCCCAGAGAGTTCACTGGGCTTCCTGACCCCTACGAAGAGCTCAACTATGGCAAGGTAGGTCCTGCAAGGGAATTTAATACTTCTCTCCATCTCTAAGCTTGGAGATGTTGACAGTTCTCAACATTTGTTGACATTGAAAACGATCTATGGTTTTCTTTTTGACAGGGTGAAGGGGTGGCCTATCGAGGGAGAATCATGGTTGAGCTCTCAACTAAACTGGAAGGCAAGGCTGACAAGACTGTAGATGAAATCCCTAGTGATGACATCTTGGTGGCCCAGGTACTGTGGCCTGTACCCCCATTACTCTTGATACATTTTACTTTACACTTAGCTACAGGTATACCCTGTTTTGGTGTAGATGGCCAAAGAAACAAAATGCATGCTGCATCTTTAAAAAATACAGTTATTTGAAATTATTTGTTAATCAATTAATATTTTTTCCATCTAAACTAAACAAACATTTTGTCTTCTGATCAGAAATACCAGCGCAGGAGGAAGTACTGTTTGTGTGCAGTGTTCCACAGTGCCAGCATGCTCCAGGAGCCTGGGGAACCAATCCAGTTTGAGGTCAGCATCGGCAACTATGGCAACAAACTGGACGCCACCTGTAAACCACTGGCCTCCACTACTCAGTACAGCTGTGCTGTGTTCGATGGTAAGGGCCCAAGCCGCCTTAGAAACCGAACTCATCTGGTTTTTGGTACCTCAGCAAGAATCTTTGAATTGGACTAATTCATTTATTTTCAACAGGTAACCACTACTATTACCTGCCTTGGGCTAACACCAAGCCAGTGGTTGTCATTACATAATTCTGGGAGGACATCAGTCACCGTTTGGATGCAGTCAACATCATTCTGTACATAGCTGAACGCCTGGTACGAGATGCAGATTTATGCACCAATTTACCAGTTCGAATGCCTACAATGTATGAATACAGTGTCAAATTGTAGTCTATTGCTCCTTTCAGCAATCTAACATCACTGCGATGAAGATGGCCATCTTGGCTAAAGTCCCCGAAAACCGTCTGGCAGAGATCTGGCTGAGACTGGTAAATCAGGTGATCGAGGACCTCGGCAGGTAAATACTTCCATGTTTGATGGATTTAGTTAGTCAACATTGGGGTAATCTGTTGGGTTTCAAAGATCTAGCATAAACACAGCAATGATGACTCCTAACCCAGCATGTTTATCCCAGCATGCAATCCCCATCATACCAATGTTTTAATTTTTTTATTGTGTAAATTGTTCAAAGTAATCATAGAGTTGTATGGTTTGTTAAACTTTGAAATCAATATTTTTTGTTCAGCATACATTTTAAAGTAAAAACATCGGAGTAATACCTTTACTGTGGAATTGCCCGTATCTAACCCAATCCCAACCAGTTTGAAAGTGCCAGACCTGGAGGGCCACTCCAACCTGACCGCACTGGACCTCCAGATGAAAAAGCTGCGCGACAGCGCCCTGCAGACCATCATGGAGGGGGCCAAGAGCATGAGAGAGGAGGCCACCGAGATCAAGGATACCCTGGGGGACATTGAGGGCTGGCTGGACAAACTGAAGCAGCTCGCTGAGGAGGTAGGTCAGAGTTCAAGTTGTTTGTCTGGTCATGATACATACATTTGACAAGCTGCTATCAATAATCAATAATACCATTTTGGCTATAGTCTCTTTTCCCTTTTCATGTACAATGCCCTCTAAATTACCCTTGAAGGTAGAGATAAAGTTGTGTATTGTTCTATTAAAACTGGGGATGTACAGTAATTTGCATGGTGTGTGTCTCTTCAGCCCCAGAACAGCATGCCTGACGTGATAATCTGGATGCTGAGGGGGGAGAAGAGAGTGGCGTACAGCCGCATCCCAGCCTATGAGCTCCTCTACTCCACCTACAGCGAACAGGCCTGTGGACAGTTCTGCGGCAAGACCAGGACTATCCTCATGCAGTACCCTATGGATAAAAACAAGGGTCTGAAGGTTCCAGTCCAGATAAGAGTCAATATGTGGCTGGGCCTGTCTGCCCACGAGAAAAAGTTCAACACTTTCTCCGAGGGGACGTTCAGTGTGTTTGCTGAATTGGTATGTTTCTATTAAAATGACTCACTTTTGCCTTTTGAGTGTTGAACTTGATATTAATGGAGAAGATCGTTGTATAATGTATGTGAATGGCCAATGAAATGACCTGTGTGTTTTCCCCTTTGTCAGTATGAGAATCAGGCCTACATGCTGGGAAAGTGGGGAACTACCGGTCTGGGTTTACGCTACAAATACTCTGATGTGACTGGCAAGCTGAAGCTGAAACAGGAGAACTTCATGCCTCCGCAAGGCTGGGAGTGGGAGGGTGATTGGTTCATAGACCCAGAGAAGGGGTAAGATTCTGTTTGTTTAAATTTGTATGTGTTTTTCTACAATGGTGGAATTCGTAATCAGCCCTCTAGATCACAATCAAAGGAAATGGGCTGGTTCTGCCTCACTCTCCCTGGAGAGACCAGTCATGTTCAGTAGGTAGGGCACACTGTAGTGAAACGTTTTGAAACAGAAAACAAAAATACTATTTTCTTATTGGGCAAGTCTAGGAAGTCCCTCCCTGTTTCAGTCTGTTTTCTTCCCTTTGGTTCCTAATGAACATGACCCGGCTATCAGTTCTCTAGTTATTAGCATTTTTCTCTTTCCATCAACCACCCGTTAGTGAGGAGTGTTGACTGTGTAATAATATGTCTTTCTGTGTGGCTGGACCAGTCTGTTGACAGAGGCAGATGCGGGACACACTGAGTTCATGGATGAAGTCTTCCAGAACGAGACTCGCTTCCCTGGAGGAGAGTGGAAGCCTGCTGCTGAGCCCTACACTGACGTGGTTAGGGAAAACACACACACAGACACACACACACGCACACGTACACACCATTTAGTGTCTCTACAAAAATCATAACGCTGGCGTTGACGCAATAACATGATATAAAAACAGGATAATGATTTAGTACAATGAATGATTAGATTCCCCTATTCAGTTTGGGCTTCCTGTAGCTCTGGCATGGTAGAAGGTGTTCAGGTTGCTGAGGCGTTGTTGGTTGTGTTTGCAGAACGGGGAGAAGACCCACAACCCAGGGGAGCTAGAGTGTCCTGCAGGCTGGAGCTGGGGGGATGAGTGGACTGTAGATGACAACAGGGCTGTGGACGAGAAAGGTCTGCTCTCACACTGATCTCTACAACACTGCTTGCCCTTGCAGTGGAAAACTTGACTTTAAATTGGGATTTCTAATATGTCTTGTCCACATTTACACCTCATGTGATCTACTACTGTAAGAATGACCTGTAGTATTTTCAAGCATTGTGTATACATTTCTAATGGGTTTATTCTGAATGCAGGCTGGGAGTATGGAATCACCATCCCTCCAGATGACAAACCCAAGTCTTGGGTGCCAGCAGAGAAGATGTACCACGTCCACCGACGGAGGAGAGTGATCAGGCCCAGGAAGAGAACATCTGCTGCTGGTAAAACCACTGAGGTCAGTGCACTGTGCCAGTAGGGAACAGTTTGTCTTGATCATAATCAAATGTTGTGGATGTAAAATATTTCCCCTTTTCCCCCATTTTCAGAAGCGAGACCAAGGAGACCCAGAGGGCTGGGAGTTCTCCTCTCTGATTGGCTGGAAGTTCCACAGGAAGGAGCGTTCCGCCGACACAATCCGACGCAGACGCTGGAGGAGGAAGATGGCCCCTGCCGACCGCCTGGGGGCATCCGCCATATTCAAACTGGAGGGGGCGCTGGTGAGCAACTGGATAACTCTGGTCCGCGGGGGCTGCAGCTTCTGCTGGTTTTCTTTTCTCCCTGGCATGAAGACACTATGTGTTGTCCAACAGTTGTCCGTCCCTGTTGTCGAGTAAGATGCATTCTTGATTAATTCGGAGGAATTCTTGATTGTCTTTGCAGGGGGTTGATATAGAAGAGAAAAAGAAAGAGGAGGTTGATGCCTCCAAGCTCTTTGGTGCCAATACTCCCACTGTGTCCTGTTCGTTTGACAGTGAGTGCTTTAGTTTTACGTAGTTGGCATGGATTTTCTGTCTGTCTGTGATGCTGGCTTTAACCGTGTATGTTTTCTTTCTGCAGGCTCGCACGTCTACCACCTCCGCGTCTACGTTTACCAGGCCAGGAACCTTGTTGCCATGGACAAAGACAGCTTCTCGGGTCTGCACGTCTCCTTGTCAAAATCATGTTTTGATTTGGTGAAAGTTGACACGATGTGACATATTATGAAAATGTGGACGTATTAACTAACACACACAACATTTGTCTATCTTGTCCTAGATCCATATGCCCACGTGTCCTTCCTGCACATGAGTAAAACCACAGAGACCATAAAGGCTACCCTGAACCCCACGTGGGACCAGACCCTGATCTTCCAGGATGTGGAGATCTACGGGGACCCCCAGAACATCGCCCACTATCCCCCCAACGTGGTGCTGGAGTTGTATGACAAGGACCAAGTGGTGGGTGTGATCAAAGTCCCTTCAGTCACCGAGGTTAAAGATGCACTATGCAAAAATCGCTCCGCCATTTCCTGGTTGCTAGAATTCTACTAGTTGGCCTAATTTCTGATTATGTGACAAAACAAGCAAGTATAGTGCAGAGAATCATTGTACCATCTAAACCGCTGTGAAATATATTTTCCATAACCCAAAATATTGTTGTTTCAGCTGTTTGAAGCTGGTGTACAAAACCGAAAGTAAAAGACACAAAAACAAAACGTAAGAACGGGAAGCATAGAAATAGTGCACAGAGAACAGATCTACCGCTTCTTAGACTTGCTTTCAACGAGAATGTGAATTTGGTCGGGTCGCCCAAAAAGTTACATATACTTTTTACCCCCTTTTTCTCCCCAATTTCGTGATATGCAATTGGTAGTTACAGTCTTGTCCCATCGCTGCAACTCCCGTACGGACTCGGGAGAGGCAAATGTCGAGAGACACGCGTCCTCCGAAACACGACCCCGCCAAGCCGCACTGCTTCTTGACACACTGCTCCCTTAACCCGGAAGCCAGCCGCACCAATGTGTCGGAGGAAACGCCGTACAGCTGGTGACCGTAGTCAGCGTGCATGAACGCGGCCGCCACAAGGAGTCACTAACCCGGATGACGCTGGGCCAATTGTGCGCCGCCTCAAGGGTCTCCCGGTCATATTGCAGCTTTAATAGTTATCATTACAGTGCCCTATTAACTGTGATTGTCATCTTGGCTGCAGTTGGTTAACATGTTGCTCTCTGCCCCAGGGGAAAGATGAGGTATTGGGCCGGAGCGTGTGTGTCCCCCTGGTGAAACTGAACCCAGGCCTGGACCAGACCCCCAAACTGCTGTGGTCCCCCATCACACAGAAGGACCAGCGGGCTGGAGAGGTTCTGGTGGCGGCTGAGCTCATCCTGAAGGATAAGGTGCAACACCAGAAGACTATGTGGAGGAGTAGCGGTATTAGTTAGTGGGGTAGGCCTATAGGAAATGTGTGATGTGGGTTGTGAAAGCTCTCTCCCTCTGTGTCTCCAGGGTAACGAGATGGACCTCCCTCTGCTCCCTCCCAAGAGGGCGGAGAATCTATACATGGTGCCTCAGGGGATACGGCCTGTGGTCCAGCTCATGGCTATTGAGGTAAACTACAATACTTCAGTAATGTCATAACTTCCCACAGAAATGTACTTGCTATTTCCCACAGTATGTATTTTGTTACCCAGTGTGTGTTTGTTTCAGATTCTGGCCTGGGGGTTGCGCAACATGAAGCCCTACCAGTTGGCCACTGTGGCCTCCCCTTCCCTTGTGGTAGAGTGTGGAGGGGAGATGGTCCAGTCTGCTGTCATCAAGAACATGAAGAGGAGCCCCAACTTTCCTGGATCTGTCCTCTTCCTCAAAGTGGTAAGAGCGGCTTGCTTGGGATCTCACAGGCATGTGTGTTGTGCTTTTGTTACATTTTTACACCGTGCCAATGGGTGGGTGCTTATATTTGTCCTGTTTCACACGTGTACAAGTTTGTATTATACACGTGTGAAAGGGAAATGTGTTTTTTTTCAAATCCCAACTCCCCCTGAGACACCCTCTGAGAGTGGGGTCACGGCCAGGGTATCCATTATCAACGGCAACCCTGGAGCAATTAGGGTAACTGCCTTGCTCAAGGGCACATCAACAGATATTTAACCTTGTCGGCCCGGGGATTCAAACTAGCGACCTTTCGGTTACTGGCCCAAAACTCTAACCACTAGGCTATCTGTGCTACATTTGTGTAGGCATCCTCTCATTCTCTCACTCAGCAGATCGATGTCAAAGTTGTCATATCTTCATCCTCAGCTTCTTCCCAAAGAGGAAATGTACACTCCTCCCATCGTGCTGAAGGTGATCGACCACAGGCCATTTGGCAGGAAGCCAGTGGTTGGACAGTGTACCATAGACACTCTGGAGGAGTTCCGCTGTGACCCCTACATCATCCAAAAGTCATCCATGTCATCCAAAAGTAACTATTCTCTTCCTCTGACACGCTTACTTATTACACGTGCATACATACCCTGTGGTGAAATTGAAATGATTTCACAACAAATATGAGATAAAAAAAATTGTCTATCTGTTTTTGTTAGTGGCTCTGATGGCTGCTTTTCCTCACGACACCAGAATTGACATGGAAGACAGGAGGCCTCTGCTTGAAGCTCAGGTATACTTTGGCATTCGAATAGGAAATCCCTCTCAAATTCACCATATTTTGTTACACTCTCTTATGAGTTTAAGATCTATTCTATCTAATATAAGAGTCCGAATTTCATAGTCGATACTCTGACTTGCAGTTTGTGTACAGTATGTCAGCAGCAGTCAACAAAATGGCCACCACTACTTCTCGTCTTGTATGTATGATGTGTAGTTCAACTCTACAGGCCTGGACAATGACACTGCAGGGTTGAGGGAGCCTCTCTGATTCTATCTAAAGTGATGAAATGGCAGATGCGCAAGGAGTGATTATGAGCAGAGTTAAAATGTGTGATTCATCCAAAGAAGTAAACTAAATGAAATATAATCCAATTCAACTTTAAACCTGTTTTAAAGTTGAACGTTTGTGAGTTTAAACAAAAAACGGACATCTCTGTCTGTCCCTATTCAGAACCGAGCAAAAAAACAACAACATTGATATTGAAACTATTATTTTGACTTTGCTTTATCACATCTCGCTTACTCGTTTCAATATTCCAAATTTGCAACAGATATTACTGATCAGGGGAACATCTTAAATTGTGTATTATAATTTTAAACATTTAAAGTTATGTTACTTAAAATAACAGAACTGCAAATTATACCAAATGATACCATTACCATTGTAATCAATGATCAACTTTCTAGACAATCTTAGCTCATGCATTGACAGTGCATTCAATAATGATTCAATCATGAAATTGGATCACAATCAGGGATCATGGCATCAAACTGTATAATCATTGAATCAAATAAATATGCCGTTGTTTTCCTCAATGCCACAATACATTTTATACCATCTACCAGATTGATCATGCATGTGAAACAGTTTTAAATGATTCCAATGATTCCAATGATTCACATGATTCATGTGACACTGATTTACAAATTCACTAGCTGGGATGATATTCGGAGAATCTCAATTGCATTTCCTTGACTCCTTGCATCCTCTCTCCTCGCCTCTCACAAAACCCATTGGATGAGAAAGTCCAAGGTCCCTCCCTTCTGACATTCTCCTCCAATGGGTTTTGAGAACGAGGCGAGGAGAACGGGCGCGAGTAATCAAGGAAATGCAAGTAAGATTCTCCCATTGACTTGATACCTTGATCACTTATCTTTCCTTGCATCCCCTTCTTCCTTAAAAGCATGCAGAGAAGGTGAGATATGAAACTTTACGCACATATCTCTATCACATAAGAAGCACTCTGTGACGTACGTTCTAGAATGTAATACTATCTTCACTTTTTTACATTAGGAGAAGGAGACAGTTGATTGGTGGAGTAAATTCTACGCTTCCATTGGAGATCAGGAGAAGTGCCGTCCTTACCTTCAGAAAGGATATGACACTTTGAAGGTGAAGTCTTGACGTTTCACACACGATACACCTGTGCTGCAAACATCTGAAGTAACTGCGCTAATTAGTTGGCATTTTGTTTTTCTTTCCTAGACTCAAATATAATTTTCTACATCTCTGGTTTCAGGTGTATGATAAGGAACTGGAAAATATTCCTGAGTTCAAACAACTCACCGATTTCTGCAGCACCTTCAAACTGCAGAGAGGCAAGAACGAAGATGGGGATGATGATCCATCTGTTGTTGGAGAATTCAAGGTGGAACAGCAGTTTCTCTATTATTTCACAGATTCCATACACATTCTCGTACATACCTCATATACAGTGGGGAGAACAAGTATTTGATACACTGCCGACTGCCTACTTACAAAGCATGTAGAGGTCTGTAATTTTTGTCATAGGTACACTTCAACTGTGAGAGACGGAATCTAAAACAAAAATCCAGAAAATCACATTGTATGATTTTTAAGTAATGAATTTGCATTTTATTGCATGACATAAGTATTTGATCACCTACCAACCAGTAAGAATTCCGGCTCTCACATACCTGTTAGTTTTTCTTTAAGAAGCCCTCCTGTTCTCCACTCATTACCTGTATTAACTGGACCTGTTTGAACTCGTTACCTGTATAAAAGACAACTGTCCACACACTCAATCAAACAGACTCCAATCTCTCCACAATGGCCAAGACCAGAGAGCTGTGTAAGGACATCAGGGATAAAATTGTAGACCTACACAAGGCTGGGATGGACTACAGGACAATAGGCAAGCAGCTTGGTGAGAAGGCAACAACTGTTGGCGCAATTATTAGAAAATGGAAGAAGTTCAAGATGACTGTCAATCACCCTCGGTCTGGGGCTCCATGCAAGATCTCACCTCGTGGGGCATCAATGATCATGAGGAAGGTGAGGGATTAGCCCAGAACTACACGGCAGGACCTGGTCAATGACCTGAAGAGAGCTGGGACCACAGTCTAAAAGAAAACCATTAGTAACACACTACGCCGTCATGGATTAAAATCCTGCAGCGCACGTAAGGTCCCCCTGCTCAAGCCAGCGCATGTCCAGGCCCGTCTGAAGTTTGCCAATGACCATCTGGATTATCCAGAGGAGGAATGGGAGAAGGGCATGTGGTCTGATGAGACAAAAATAGAGCTTTTTGGTCTAAACTCCACTCGCCGTGTTTGGAGGAAGAAGAAGGATGAGTACAACCCCAAGAACACCATCCCAACCGTGAAGCATGGAGGTGGAAACATCATTCTTTGGGGATGCTTTTCTGCAAAGGGGACAGGACGACTGCACCGTATTGAGGGGAGGATGGATGGGGCCATGTATCGCGAGATCTTGGCCAACAACCTCCTTCCCTCAGTAAGAGCATTGAAGATGGGTCGTGGCTGGGTCTTCCAGCATGACAACGACCTAAAACACACAGCCAGGGCAACTAAGGAGTGGCTCCGTAAGAAGCATCTCAAGGTCCTGGAGTGGCCTAGCCAGTCTCCAGACCTGAACCCAATAGAAAATCTTTGGAGGGAGCTGAAAGTCCGTATTGCCCAGCGACAGCCCCGAAACCTGAAGGATCTGGAGAAGGTCTGTATGGAGGAGTGGGCCAAAATCCCTGCTGCAGTGTGTGCAAACCTGGTCAAGACCTACAGGAAACGTATGATCTCTGTAATTGCAAACAAAGGTTTCTGTACCAAATATTAAGTTCTGCTTTGTTTTAGATTCCGTCTCTCACAGTTGAAGTGTACCTATGATAAAAATTACAGACCTCTACATGCTTTGTAAGTAGGAAAACCTGCAAAATCGGCAGTGTATCAAATACTTGTTCTCCCCACTGTATATGCATAACCACATTGGCTCAAATAGATGGAATGCATCAGTCATAAATCAGGCTATTGCTCCCTTTATAGTGGTAGAGTTGAGGCATTGCTACCTGTCAGTGATGGCTGATGACTGTGTTTTCAGGGCTCTTTTAAGGTGTACCCTCTATCAGATGACCCGGGTGTGGCTCCTCCTCCTCGCCAGTTCCGTGAGCTGCCTGAAAGCGGGCCTCAGGAGTGCCTGGTGAGGATCTATGTGATCAGAGGCATCGACCTGCAGCCCAAGGACAACAACGGCCAGGTTAGTCCAGCGCCGTGACCTTGGAATTCCACGTTTCTATCTGGGAAAAGATGATTCTGAGATAATTGGCTTTAAAGTTCCGAACCCTCATTGATTTGAATGGTGTGAGCAATTCTCATCATGTATTCTTTTTAACTTAACAACATGAATTGGGGTATTTAGAGCACCATATAGGTGGAGAACATTATACAGAAAAAGGTTACATCAATAACTCAGTTTGGCAAAAACATTCAGATATAAGTTCAAGTTTTATTGTCACATGCACAAGTACATTGAAATGCTTAACTTGCATGCTCTATATAACCGTATAATTCTAAGCTCTCACATTGTGCATTGCCAGGTTGCTGTTCTCTTACTTACTCTACCTTGCAATCTCTTTGATGTTGCAACATGACATGTTTGTTTTCTAAATTTGCCTTTCCTTTACAGTGTGATCCTTATATAAAGATTTCCCTGGGAAAGAAGTCAATTGAGGACCGAGATCACTACTTACCAAATACCACCAACCCTGTGTTTGGAAGGTAAAATCTCACATTCATTTAAAGTGGCAATATGTTACTTTTTGGGTCGACCTGACCAAATTCACATAGAAATGTGAGTTATAGATATGTAATTCTACTTGAAAGCAAGTCTAAGAAGCTGTAGATATGTTCTATGTGCGCTATTTCTATGCTTCCCGTTCTTACGTTTTTTTTATTTTTGCGTCTTTTACTTTCGGCTTTGTACACCAGCTACAAACAGCTGAAACAACAATATTTTTGATTATGGAAAATATATTTCACAGCGGTTTGCATGGTACAATGATTTTCTACACTATACTATATTATTATGTCACATAAACTGAAATTAGGCAAACTATTAGGGTTGTAGCAAACAGGAAATGGCGTAGCGATTTCTGCATAGTACAACTTTAAATGGACTTACCCTCAAGATCGAATGTTATTCTACACTACCCTTATACCACATCTCCCTTTTTGCAGAATGTTTGAGATGTCATGTTTCCTGCCTCAAGACAAAGACCTGAAGATCTCAGTGTATGACTATGATCTGCTGAGCCGCGATGAGAAAGTGGGAGAGACAGTGATTGACCTGGAGAACCGCTTACTGTCACACTTTGGCTCCTACTGTGGCCTGCCTCAGACATACTGCATGTGAGGAGACTTGTTCCTGCTGTACATTTCTAAGTCATAGTTCACTTAAAAAATCTTAAGTTTGTCAGACATTTTCAGAACTCGAATTTGGTGTTGATATGAGTCATAGTGCCATGCCATCTGTTGTGTAGGTCCAGATAACAACTATATGCCTCAATACTAAATGAATGAGAAAGATAGGCACCATAATTTAATTTAGCCCATAATCATTATGGGGGACTCTGATTGATTGGCTGTGTTGATCTCCCCGAAACAGCTCTGGAATCAACCAATGGCGCGACCATCTGAAGCCCTCTCAGATCCTTCAGAACCTGGCCCGCCTCAAAGGCGTCCCTCCACCCAGAACAGAAGATGATGGCAAAGCACTGTCATTCAATGGGAATCAGTACACCCTGGCTCAATTTGGTAATTCATAACCAGGTTTTTTTATGGCGTTTTCAAAAACGTTCAACTTTCATTTTAGAGGCATGAGGACAAGGGTATGTTTTGTGTGACATGAGTTGGGCCTGTAGTTTTTCTTCCTGACCAGCAAAAAACAATGGACCCTATATATGAGGTAACTCACGTTTACCATCTACATTTAGAGGCCAACAAAGAGATCCACCAGCACTTGGGTCCTGCCGACGAACGGATCTCTCTGCATGTGCTCAGAACACAGGGACTGGTGCCAGAGCATGTGGAGACCAGGACACTGTTCAGCAGCTTCCAGCCCCAACTCTCTCAGGTCACAGGTCACATGTTGTCTTCCTCTTTATCTTCAATGTCTCCCACTGTCTCCGTATCTGAGACTAACTGTATTTTTCACTCACTTTATAGGGATGCCTTCAAATGTGGGTGGATGTTTTCCCCAAAAACATGGGCCTTCCCGGACCTCCATTCGACATTGTACCACGCAAGGCCAAGAAGTAAGGAGAATCGCTTCACAATTTGGTATTTCAAAGTGATCTTGTCTATAATCGTCTATTCTATTAATGAATAACATGTCTCCATTTAAAGGTATTTCCTCCGAGTTGTTGTTTGGAACACCACTGATGTCATTCTGGACGAAACTAGCATTACTGGGGAGCGCATGAGTGATATCTACGTCAAAGGGTATCGGTGTTGAACAATGTTTAAAAAAAATTGGAAGAGATATTAGGATCTAAGTATTACCATGGCAGCCATGCATATAACACACTTGTGGTTTGTTCAAACATTTTAAAAACCTAAATGAATTAACCAGTCAGTCTGTCGGTCCAGCTGGATGCCAGGTATGGAGGAGGACAAGCAGAAGACTGACGTCCACTACAGGTCTCTGGACGGGGACGGCAACTTCAATTGGAGGTTCGTCTTTGGCTTTGAATACCTGCCTGCTGAACAGCTGTGTCTGGTGTCCAAGAAGGTGTGTTGAGGCTTGAGAAACAATTACAAACGGAATAGTGTAGTAAGACAAGATTGAGGTACATTTCTTTGCCAGCATTTTGTCAGTCTTGCTTATTATCTTCAACAGGAGCACTTCTGGAGTCTAGACAAAACAGAATTCAGAATACCCCCCAAGTTGATTGTTCAAATTTGGGATAATGACAAGTTCTCATTGGATGATTACCTGGGTGAGACACTCTAGCACTATGAATTACCGTACAATACTTTTTTCAACCAATAATGACCATAATTTTGCTTCAGCTGATCAAATCAGCTATTTAACACATGGTTCTGAGATGGTCTTCTGGTCATTGTACAGGCACGGTAGAGCTGGATCTCCGTAAACTAATCCCTCCGGCCAAGATCTCAAAGACGTGCAGTCTGAGTATGATGGAGGAGGTGATGGATGCCCGGCCAAACAAATCAGACCTGGCCAATTCCCTGTTCGCTCAGAAGTCTGTTAGAGGCTGGTGGCCGTGTGTCACTGAGCAGGATGGGAAGAAAGTCCTTGGTGTGAGTACAGCTAAGAGAGCATAAATCATCCTGGTTTAGCGATAATCTTGTATTCAACCATGTTTAGTGTCTCTGAAGAAGGTTACTACTTTGCAAATTAAAGAGCTATATGTGAAATATTGTATGGAATAAATCTGAATGAACATCTGTTATGTTTAGGGGAAGGTTGAGATGACTCTGGAAATCGTGTCTGAGCCGGAAGTGGACGAAAAGCCTGCTGGGAAAGGCAGGGATGAACCCAACATGAACCCAAAGCTTGACTTCCCTAAGTAAGGATTTCCACTCTTCTGTGTATATTCACCCTTTATAGGCCTAACAGAAATGTTTACCTCCGATATATACCATATTAAACTCTGTTTCCTCCTCTCTTCCAACATCAACAGGCGTCCGGACACATCCTTCTTCTGGTTCACAAACCCCTGTAAGACCATGAAGTTCATTGTGTGGCGCAGATTCAAGTGGCTGTTCATTGGACTGATCCTACTGATCCTAGTGCTGCTTTTCCTCGGAATCCTGTTGTACTCTTTACCGGTAAGAACAGGCAGGAGGGGATAATGTTCAATCAAACTGTGTTAAATCAAATTCATATTAATGAAATAACAAACCGACATATTGCCTACATTTTGATGTGATTAATGCTTGCCTAATTAAACATTTTCTCTCATTCCAGAACTACATTTCAATGAAAATTGTGAAGCCATTCAAATGAAAACGCCACATTTTGCTCTTATGTCAAGAAGAACAGAGACCAAAGTCTTCCAATATATTTTCAACCAAAAAGATCATGACTATTTTTATGTATTCTAAACTGTATTTGTGTAATATTTCAAAAAAAAAAAAAATTGCCCACAGAATGCAGAATTGGTATATTGTTCAAACCAACTTCTGACATAATTATGTTATCTTTGCACAAGTTAATTAGAATTCCTTGAACTTTATGCTCTTAAAGTATTTTTTATGGATGCTTTGTAAAGAAAAATGTTGTGGTCATATACACACTGATTTTTTAAATAAATGATTGTTTTAAGGTCCTAATGAATGATGATCAGTAGGCCAATTGCATTGGTGGTCTTTGTGGTTATACAGTATGTACTGAACAAAAATATAAACGCAACATGTAAAGTGTTGGTCCCATGTTTCATGAGCTGAAATAAAAGATCCCAGAAATTTTCCATAGCCACAAAAAATGTTTTTCTCTCAAATTTGGTGTACAAATTTGTTTATAACCCTGTTAGTGAGCATTCTCCTATGTCAAGATAATCCATCCACCTGACAGGTGTGGCATATGAAGAAGCTGATTAAACAGCATAATCATTACACAGGTAGGTGCACCTTGTGCTGGGGACAATAAAAGGCCACTCTAAAATGTGCAGTTTTGTCACACAACACAATGCCACAGATGTCTCAACTTTTGAGGGAGCGTGCAATTGGCATGCTGACTGCAGGAATGTCCACCATAGCTGTTGCCAGAGAATTGAATGTTAATTTCTCTACCATAAGCCGCCTCCAACGTCGTTTTAGAGAATTTGGCAGTACGTCCAACCAGCCTCACAACCACAGCCCAGTACCTCCACATCCGGCTTCTTCACCTGCGAGATTGTCTGAGACCAGCCACCCAGACATCTGATGAAACGTTTGGTTTGCACAACCGAAGAATTTCTGCGCAAACTGTCAGAAACCGTCTCAGGGAAGCTCATCTGCGTGCTCATCATCCTCACCAGAGTCTTGACCTGACTGCAGTTTGGCGTCTTAACCGACTTCAGTGGGCAAATGCTCACCTTCGATGGCCACTGGCACCCTAGAGAAGTGTGCTCTTCACGGATGAACTGAACCGGGCAGATGGCAGACAGAGTGTATGGCGTCATGTGGGTGAGCGGTTTGCTGATGTGAACAGAGTGCCCCATGGTGGTGGTGGGGTTATGGTATGGGCAGGCATAAGCTACAGACAACGAACACAATTGCATTTTATTGATGGCAATTTGAATGCACAGAGATACCGTGACGAGATACTGAGGGCCATTGTCGTACCATTCATCCGTCGCCATCACCTCATGTTTCAGCATGATAATGCACAGCCCCATGTCGCAAGGATCTGTGAACAATTCCTGGAAGCTGAAAATGTCCCAGTTCATCCATGGCCTGCATACTCACCAGACATGTCACCCATTGAGCATGTTTGGGATGCTCTAGATCGACGTGTATAACAACGTATTCCAGTTCCCGCCAATATCCAGCAACTTCGCACAGCCATTGAAGAGGAGTGGGACAATATTCCACAGGCTACAATCAACAGCCTGATCAACTCTATGCGAAGACGTGTCATGCTGCATGAGGCAAACGGTGGTCACACCAGATACTGACTGGTTTTCTGATCCAATCCAATACAGATACGCATCTGTTGGTCACAGATACCTTGAAAAAAAAAAGGTATCTGTGACCAACAGATGCGTATCTGTATTTCCAGTCATGTAAAATCCATAGATTAGGACCTAATGAATTTATTTCAATTGACTGATTTCCTTTTATTAACTGTAACTCAGTAAAATCTTTGAAATTCTTGCAACAAGTGCTTAGCATATGTGGGAACTCCTTCAAGACTGTTGGAAAAGCATTCCAGATGAAGCTGGTTGAGAGAATGCCAAGAGTGTGCAAAGCTGTCATCAAGGCAAAGGGTGGCTACTTTGAAGAATCTCAAATATAAAATATATATTTCATTTGTTAAACACTTTTTTGGTTACTACATGATTCCATATGTGATATTTCATAGTTTTGATGTCTTCACTATTATTCTACAATGTAGAAAATAGTAAAAATAAAGAAAACCCTTCAATGAGTAAGTGTGTCCAAACCTTTGACTGGTACTGTATATATTACAGTGCCTTCGGAAAGTATTCAGAGCCCTTGACGTTTTCCACATTTTGTTAGGTTTCAGCCTTATTCTAAAATGGATAAAATTGTTTTTTCCCCCCTCATCAATCCACACACAATACCCCATAATGACAAAGCAATAACGTTTTTTTTTTGTACTAATTTATATTTTTAGAAAAAATAAGGAAATATTACATTTACATAAGTATTCAGACCCTTTACTCAGTTCTTTGTTGAAACACCATTGGCAACATTACAGCCTCGAGTTTTCTTGAATATGACGCTACAAGCTTGGCACACCTGTATTTGGGAAGTTTCTCCCATTCTTCTCTGCAGATCCTCTCAAGCTCTGTCAGGTTTGATGGGGAACGTTGCTGCAGAGCTATTTTCAGGTCTCTCCAGAGATGTTCGATTGGGTTCAAGCCCAGGCTCTGGCTGGGCCACACAAGGACATTCAGAGTCTTGTCCCGAAGCCACTCCTGCGTTGTCTTGGATGTGTGCGTAGGGTCGTTGTCCTGTTGGAAGGTGAACCTTCACCCCAGTCGGAGGTCCTGAGCGCTCTGGAGCAGGTTTTCATCAAGGATCTCTCTGTACTTTTCTCCGTTCATCTTTGCCTCGATCCTGACTAGTCTCCCAGTCCCTGCCGCTGAAAAACATCCCCACAGCATGATGCTGCTATCACCATGCTTCACCGTAGGAATGGTGCCAGGTTTCCTCCAGACGTGACGCTTGGCATTCAGGCCAAAGAGTTCAATCTTGGTTTCATCAGACCAGTGAATCTTGTTTCTCATGGTCTGAGAGTCTTTAGGTGCCTTTTGGCAAACTCCAAGGGGGCTGTCATGTGCCTTTTACTGAGGAGTGGCTTTCATCTGGCCACCGTCTGGCCACATAAAGGCCTGATTGGTGGAGTGCTGCAGAGATGGTTGTCCTTTTGGAAGGGTCTCCCATCTCCACAGAGGAACTCTGGAGCTCTGTCAGAGTGACCATCGGGTTCTAAAAGCCTGTTTTCTCTTTGTCATTATGGGGTATTGTGTGTAGATTTCTGAGGAAGTTGTTTCATTTAATTCATTTTAGAACAAGGCTGTAACGTAACAAAATGTGGAAAATGTCAAGGGGTCTGAATACATTCCGAAGGCACTGTATATTATTATTTTTTATATTTTTTATTATTATTCTTAGCTCAGGTGAAAACCCATATAATTGGGAGGGATCATACAGTCAATGGTAAGGATACATGTAGTAATGTAGCAGGTGAGGAATACCCTACCGTAGTCCAGGCCTTACTCAAGCTAAAACAGCATATTGAAAAATGTGAATAGACACTGGAATGTCAATTGAAAGGAAAACATGTAAGGAGTTATTTGATCTTGTTTTTCCATCAATAAAATGTAATAAATGGATAGTTAGTTATTGCAAAAGAATCGTATCTATTGCCATTTTCCAATAAAAACCAACTCAACTACAGATGAATGAGGGAAAATAATATTCCAGACTCCAGTACTACAGAGAAGACATACCCTCTGTCAGTGACAGAGGTCGCTGTGCGCTCTCTCTTTTGACACGATTGGTCTCTGTGCCTTAACGAAAGTTGTCCGTTTCTGTTTTTTTCGTTTGAGGATTTGGACTGCAAGCGAGGTGGATTTATATTTATTTTGTCTTACGGTATCACGTTTTCAGTTTAGTTTAGCCTAGTAATTATTTGACAATAACTTGTCCCGATACATAATAGACATTACGAAACAACCTCCATTTTGAAATGCTAAAGAGTCGGTACAAAGTGTAGGCTACTATCAGAGCGATTGTTCATGAACATATACGTGAAGGACAACACTCAAATGCAAATAATAAGCCTGCAATACATACTTGTACATAAATGGATTGAGATGTGGTTTCAATGCATTTATTTGATTCTGTTCAAAACTAAATGTTTCTTACTAGAACTCACGACGCTATGAATGGCTTCTTTGGCAGACTCTGCTCCATTGGAACCTGAGCTCAGCCCTCTGGTCAAGCCAGGACAGTGTTACAAAGACAGTTTCCTCTATCATCTACTTTGTCTTTCAAGTTGATTCTTTTTTATTTGCTTACATAGAATATTTGTATTGCATTCATTATTTCAGATTTTCTACACAATACAACTCTTCTGGGACCAATTGTTTTAATTGTGTTTTGATCTGTGGGACCCAAACATGCTCCAGCCACTGAGGATTCTCTTCAGACCCAAGTGGATGGTCTCACGGTCCTCTGCCAGCTATGTGTCCAGGATGAGGTCAGTTCAGTTCACTGTCAGATATACCCACCCATTTAATAAACATACTGCAAGTTAGATAACGGTTGAATGGGATTGCATTCATGCTAAAGTTATAGCATGTCTGATTTAGGCACTTGAATAAGATAAAGGAGGAGGATGAGGCGTGTCGAGCAGCATTGCAGTCTGGGAATATTTTCCTTTATCACAAACTGGCTCCTCTACTGCGGCGGACTGACAGTGGAATATACCAGCTCCCAGCTCTCCAGACCAAAGGTATTTTATGGCCAGATGAACAGTGCCATGGAAGCTAGGATTGAGACAAAGACTGTATATAACAAAGACAGCCTCCTCTCACTACAGAATCCCTAAATTGAGAGTGACATTATTGTAATGACATAATAGAAATGGGCATTTCTTGACAGGAACAACTTTCAACAGAGATTTACCTGCATATAGCAACACAAACATGTAGTATGCTGAAATGGAAATATGTTTGTGCCTCTCAGATGTAGAAGGGATTCTGGAAAAGCTTGGAGAGGACAAGGAGATGGTGAAGGAATCCATTCTCATCAACTGCACTGAACAGAACAAAGCACAGTTCTCCTTTGATGTTGGTACGAGAACATCCAGACATGTAATACATGACTTCATGGCGTCATAGTTAGTTGGTACAGAAAGTTCCCATCTGGAATAATAATCAATCTCATTCTCCACCTACAGTACATTGTCTTCTGTGTCTCTTGGGCAGAGGACAGGTTGACTGACTGTCTCTCTGTGCTGTAGGGGCGATAGAGCAGACTGCTGTGGAGGAGCTGTGTAGAGGAACCTTCGTAGACCTGAGGAAAGCCTTCTTCCTACTGAGAGGGTCTGAGGCACCGCTTGTAGCCAGAGTGGGTATTGGAGTCAAGTCTCTCCAATCTAGTGTCTCTCTGTGTTTGCTCTTATACCTGGGTGTGTGTTTTGGTCGTTAGGGGCAGGCTCTCCTTCGCTGGCACCAGACCAATGGCTTCTGCAGCTTCAGTGGGCAGCCCACCCATAGGAACCAGTCTGGCAGTCAGCGTGTGTGTCACAGCAGTGGGATCACTTATTACCCTAAGGTAAGAAACTGGGCTTATCTAGCAGATTTAAAAGGTCAATCAGCTATTTAACAGCTCTCATATCACATTGGATTTTCATCATGAAATAAAGTAGTTATTACATTTCCCTAAGAGAAAAGTAGTTCTGTAGTCTCTTTTGTTTTTCTACAGATGTCTCCGGTGGTGATCGTATTGGTGTCTGATGGGAAACGGTGTTTGCTGGGGAGGCAGTCCACCTTCCCACGGGGGATGTACAGTGCACTGGCAGGCTTCTGTGACATAGGTGAGTCTCATGCCGCACATTTTAAACCAATGAGGCATGTGTATTGACTATTTATAACATGTCTATTACATAGGCTACATCCAGTCCTAATATGCTACCCAGGTGTAAACAGCCTGAGAAAGGCCTCCCGAGTGGCGCAGCGGTCTAAGGCACTGCATCGCAGTGCTTGAGGCGTCACTACAGGCGGCGCACAATTGGCCCAGCGTCGTCCGGGTTAGGGGAGGGTTTGGCCGGTCGGGATTTCCTTGTCCCATTACGCTCTAGCGACTCCTTGTGGCGGGCCGGGTGCCTGCACGCTGACTTTGGTCGCCAGCTGGACGGTGTTTCCTCCGACACATTGGTGCGGCTGGCTTCCGGGTTAAGCGAGCAGTGTGTCAAGAAGCAGTGCGGCTTGGCAGGGTCGTGTTTCGGACGCATGGCTCTCGACCTTCGCCTCTCCCGAGTCCGTAGGGGAGTTGCAGCGATGGGACAAGACTGTAACTACCAATTGGCTATCAAGAAAAAGGGGTAAAAAGTACAACAAAACCCCCCCCCAAAAAAAAAATAAACAGCCTGAGAGATGTAACTCACTTATCCATAACTGTACTCGTTAAGACTAATATATTACTGTTAGCATAAGCACTGGTATAGGCTCCTGAATGTGTCAACAGGTGAGACCATGGAGGAGGCGCTCCGCAGGGAGATAGCTGAGGAGGTGGGGCTGGAGGTAGAGTCTATCCAGTACTCAGGCTCTCAGCACTGGCCCTTCCCACAGAGCTCCTTCATGGTGGCCTGTCACGCCACCGTCAACCCAGACAAGACACAGGTCAGTCAGTGGCTGCCTCACTATCCTAACGCTCTCTGTGTTCATACATTCATTTGGCTTGAGTGTGAGCAAGACATCCAGACAAAGCTTTATCCACAGGGCTGGACTAACCAAATCTGGAGCCCTGGTCAAAAACATTTTTGGGGCCTATTTCTGGGTGGCAGAGAGAACATTTTGCAGTTCTAAAGCTAATTTCCTGCAATTCTACACATTTTGCAATGGGGCAGAGATAAAGTGTTGCCGTTTTAAAGCTAATTTTCTGCAATTCTACACATTTTGCCATGGTTAATGCGGGTTCATATGCTATGAGTGACTGAAACATAACAAAATCAGGTTGGTAATCCAGCCCTCCTTATCCATGGTTGTACATTTAGTGTCCAAGAACTGCCAGATCACTACATTTGTTTTGTTAAATTGTTTTTTTGTTCATTTTATTTTTAAAGCGACTTTGAGATTCTACTTGTAATGAAAAGCGCTATATAAAGTAAATATATTATTTTTACATTACATTTTCCCCATGCCAATACAGTGTATATTGAAATAAATACTATAGGTTGAAAACTGAATTAATTGTACGTTGCTGATCTGAACTGCATTGCCTAACAGGTCAGTGTGGATAAGGTGGAGTTAGAGGATGCACGGTGGTTCAGCCTAGAGGAAGTCCAAGAGGCTCTGACGTTCAAGGCGCCACCACGGAACAACAAAGGAGAGCCCACTGTGTTCTGGGTCCCACCAAGCTACGCCATAGCTAACCGGCTGATCCAGGAATGGGCCAATCAACAACACCTCAAATCATAGCAAGATGGGTGGACAACAGACAGCATCAAAGCTGCAAATACAACACACAGATGATTTTAAAAGACCAGGCAGGAACACTGTAGTTTTAAGTGCTTGGTAACACACACAGACGGGAATGAAACATACAGGTCCTCAACAGACACTGGAGGGGAACAGTGACAGGAAATACATCTCATTTGAGGATAAAAGTGTGTGACCGGGACATTCTTGACCAGTGTTTCAATAAATAATAAAATACCATTAACGGGCTTGGCTTATAGCTAACATTTGTCATTGTTATTCAAGATTACAATATGTAAAGCACATTTTTGCATACATTTAATTGTTTGATCACTAGGCCTTTAACTGATGATTTTGTTTCAATATTGTAACTACCTCCACAGTATTGCAATGATTCTCAAAATGATTTACAAAGAGAATGGTTATAAGTGTATTGTAAGTACTGTAATATCATACTTGGTGTATGTACAGATATCAACTAAATGAATAAAACCATAAAGCCTAAATTGATATTTTTTAAGCCTGATCTCTGCCTGCTGTTGCCACCAAGAGAGACTGAAAGTTTTATACGCTTTCATTTTTTATTGACTAAAAACCAAATACATTTAAGAGCAATGTGGAAAATAAAACAATCCTTAAGGGCTACACATAAAACCCATCGGCAACATTACATCACAATGTCTTGATAATGTGTTGTTGCTACATAACCACTTGAACCATCTAGGCAACTAGTCACAGAGGCTAGTATGATACAACTTTCCGTTATAGAGTTTTTTTTCTTCTCCATTTCATCTTGAAAATATAAATTTGAATTGTTTCATAGTGACCCCCCCCCCCCATATAGGCACATCCCCTGCCACTCCAAAACGGACCATATTTAGGTCCTAAGTGACATATGAACAGAATATCATCTTTCACTATGACAGAGTGGTCTCAAGAACTGTCTTTGCGCAGGATCAACTTTTAATCATAACATATAATGAAAACAGATGACTGTTAGCAACAGCGCAGAGGTGAGTTAGAAAAAGAGTCACTTCTTTCCCTTTCTTCCTGAGGAGGAGCTCGGTCTTTTCTTGCAGTACTTTGCCTCCAGGTTATCCATCAAACTGTTAAAGCCTGCCTCTTTTGACTTCTGATTTTTCTGAAAGAAAGAGGAGAGGGGGATAAGAGATAAATAACCGACGGAGCTTCGGAAAAAGGTCAGACTCTGTTCTACGTTGTGACGGTGGGTACTGGTTCCACAGCTACGTTGTATCACGTTGGTCAACTAACTGTCTTACCTTGATCATGGCCACCAGGCTGTCCTCGCTATCCAGGCCCATCTCTTTCTGCATCTCCTCTGCTTCTTTACGCTCTTTATCGGCCTGGAAACACAATGACACAAACATTGACAGCTGCATTTGGTGACCATACGAAGTTTACCTGTATCAGCTAGCTATGTCTCTGTGATAAGAGCATGAGATAAAACGAACTAAAAATGCATTGAGATATACATGATATAGAGTGGTGGATTAGTTCACACACCTTGCGTTTGCGGCTGCTTTTCTTCTTAGCACTCTCGTTGGTGAAAGCCTTGTGAGACCGCAGCGCCTTGGAGTCGATGGCGCACTGGAGGATGGCTCTGATCCGTGGCTCGTCCTCCTGGGTGGCACAAAGCACGTTCTCCATGATCCTGTCCATGTCGCCCTTGTGCTCCTCATAGACCCGCATCAGATCATGCTTTTCTTCCTCAGAGTCCTTGTAGGACTTCTCAAAGTTCAGGATGTCTTGAAGTGTGATCTGCAAAGAGAAAGAACAGTCTTGACATAACTGTGTTCATGTCCAGGCCTGGGACTTTCTGAATGTCCAGTGTTAATTCATTGTAGCTAAGATTTTAATATTTAAGGCTACAGAATGTGAAAACGGTGCAAGGCGGATGTGAAGACTTTCACTAGGCACTGAATGTATCCATTTGTAACTTGCACTGGGAAAAAATACTGTTTTAAATGTCTTAACTTGAAGTCCTACCTTAGGAAACATTGTTCTCCAATACTCTTCCCAATTACGATCTTGGTCAAGTGAGTCGGACTCCTCGTCTACTATGCCCTGCTCATCGTAAATGGCCCTTTGGTCTTTGTCACTCAACACTGCATACACCTTCCCTAGAGCCTAGTAACACATCAAGATACCAAACAGGACAGAAACGGATCATCAGACACCTGCTCCTCCCGATATATCAACCAAGATTTTAAAGGTTAACAAACATTCACACATTATTTTTGGAATATAAATGCTGTCTTGGCTACCTGGAACTTGGCAGTGGCTTGCCCGTCACCTGGTGATCTGTCAGGGTGGACTTGTAGTGAAACTTTATAATAACCCCGTCGAACCTCTGCCTCCGATGCATCATTTGTGACACCGATGACATCATAAAGGTTTGACGTCTTGAACAGCTCCTCACACTGATCCAGTAAACCCATGTCTGCTTCCCCTAGCAACTAGGGCAAATAAAGTAAAAGACAACATAAATGTCAACAATGTGTGTGGAATTAAATGGCAGTGATATAGCTAATGTAACTAGCAAACTAACGTTACACTATTCCCCCTACTCTTTCTGGCTCTCTTTCTGCCCAGAGTCAGTACCCATCTCCAATTCACTTCCCCAAAGCAATAACCAAACGCACAAAGTTGGAGCTATAACCATACAAAATCTTCAATGACATGATGGTCAATTTCAATAACTTAGCCAGCCGCTCAACGTTAACTAGCTAGCTAGCTTGCGCTACTTAGCAAGCAGCTGATGCTAGCTAGCTAACGTTAACTATCTCACTGACACTGGCACTGGCCCCGGCCTCTTAGCTACAGAAATTGTGGAACTAGCTATTCCGACTAGAAATACCAGCAAAAATAAGAATGTCTCGCAACTCACGCGTCCTTTAACTGAAGTGAATGACAGGTTATTATTGTGATTTTATCCGTTTATTTTGGATAGCTCGCTAGGTACCGTTCTAGCTCCTAATTGTCAACAAGTAAGCGCCTCTCTCCAAAATTTGGCGCGGTATTTGCGTCATCGTATAATTCATCTGAGCGCCCCACAGGTTCTAAACAGCCTCATCAAAGATTGTCAATGCCCCTGATTACCAGATGCAACCACTTGTCCAATGTTTAAATGCCAAAGTAAAAAAAAAAAAGAAGGGGTTTCCTAGAATGCCAAGTATTCAAAAAAATAAATAAAAAACATATTACCGTGTGTATAAGGTAATATACCACTTGGTAGCTTTCAAAATAAAGTAGCTGTCTCTTTAATAAACCCACATCACTTCTAAACCGGAACTACAATTTTGGAGTTCACAAAATACTTCCGTGTGGGCACATTCGCAAAAAAAGTCTGTGTACTCCTAATTAATCAAATGTATTGATGTATTAGCTGGTATTATCTTAATATTTCATAAATGCTAATCTGAAAGAGTGGTCAATTAGCTAAAGTCGTGATAAACACCAACAAACAGAATGTCAAATTTCATCGCGCTGCAGACCCAGTTGGCCTCTGTCATGGAGACCCTTGTTCACGCGGCGGTGGCCGAACTGGGTAAACTTGTAGAGGACAGCTCTGTTTTCGTATTCAGCCTGGAATTGACCCAGGGGCATAGCGAGGATGACGAATTATCGGCAAAACTGCAGACGGAGAGTCAGAATAAGATGGTAAGTCACCATGAGTGTGAGAGGAAAGGCCTAGTCTAGCAGCTGGCTATGATACTGAAGCGAGTTAGCTAGCTAGCTAGCTTTGCCCAAATAACACAGATCAGTTGTCCTATAAGACATCATGTTTATAAACAGTTACGGGTGACAGATACCATGGAAAGTGGCATGCAAGAATACAATATTCACCCTCAATCTATTCATGGTATGTTTTGAAATAATACATTACTCATCTCTTTTTCATTTACAGACAGACTTTGCCACAATCATGGAGGTACTGGGCAATGAGGCATTGGGTAAAATAATGAAAATTGTGGATGATACAAAGTTTTTGATGGACTTTGAATCCAAGTCCTTCAAAGGCAATAGAGGGAAAAAAGCCAAACCACAAGCGAGCATCTTGAATATTCTCTCAGTCGGAGGAATGGGTAAGTAACACGTTTTTATTTCTTTGTTATCTGTTGGACTACAAGAAGAAGTACCTATTTATGCCTCACTTCTCTTTCATTTTTGCAGCGGAGGAACATTCTTATGGCGGAAGTGGTAAAACTGTGGAGCAAACTGTTTCAATGGAGGTAAGCTCTTTGCAGGTTGCATCAAGAGTCATGTAATTGTTATAAAACAATGTAATCGTTTCTGCAAACACTTTGGCTGGTTTCAGTAGGCAAAACGTTAAATGTTTAGTCTGTGTCCATTCTTTGCCATTTCTATAATATGATCCAATTATGCTCCTAATGTTCACACCTAATCAATCTGTTTGTGCTGGTAGTCTGCAGATGTGGAGGAAGTGGACACACCAGAATCTCCCCTCGTCTTGGCTGTCTCTGTCAAAGACGAGCATGGGCAAATAGACCTGGGGGCCATTGCAGAGAGTAAGTATAAAGCCAGTACTAGTGTCTCGACAGTACATAAGATCAGCCCATATCATAGTATTAACTGTCACCTGAGATGATATTTTGTCATGGCTATTTTGTTCACATACATGTTTTATGCTTATCTTACAGGAGCTGCTGATGATGCTTTTGCAGGAAACTCTTCCTCAGAGCACCAGTATGGTATGATTAGCGATGACCCCCTGGTGAACCCCACAGACATCCTATTGGAGACTTTGTTCGCCCAAAAGAAGCTCTTCATTTGCACCGAGTGTGGGAAAAGTTTCTCCACGCAGAGTAACCTCAAATCCCACCAGCGACTTCACACTGGCGAGAAACCATTTGTGTGCATGTTCTGCAACAAAGCCTTTGCCCACAAACAGAGTTGTAATGATCACATCCGCACCCACACTGGTGAGAAGCCCTTCATATGTGGCGTGTGTGGGAAATGCTTCGGCAAGCAGGCGCACCTCAAGACCCATTCGATAATCCACACAGGTGAAAAGCCTTACAGCTGCACTGTGTGTGGCAAGAGCTTCAACCTGGCACAAAATCTGTCTAGACACCAGCAAATTCACACAGGAGAGAAAATCTTCACCTGTTTGCTGTGTGGGAAAGGCTTCACACGAGCTGTAACACTGAAGACCCATCAACTCATTCACACTGGACAAAAGCCCTTCAAGTGTATTCAGTGCGAGAAGAGTTTCCGTCACGCTGTCAATCTGAAGAACCACCAGCGGATTCATACAGGCGTAAGGCCATTTAGCTGTGACTTGTGTGGCAAGACATTCCGTCAATCGGTGAATCTGAAAATACACAAGCGCATCCACACTGGAGAGAGGCCATATATCTGCACAGAATGCGGCAAGACCTTCAGTCAGCAGAGTAGTCTCATGTCTCACGGACGCACCCACTCTAACGAGAGACCTTTCGAGTGTAGCTTCTGCGAGAAAAGATTCAACAACGCCAACAGTCTGAAGTTGCACCAGAGAATCCATACAGGAGAGAAGCCGTACAGCTGTGAAATCTGTGGGAAGACTTTCAGTCAGGGCAGTCATCTCCGAACACACAAGAGGCATGTCCACGCAGGAGGGAAACAGTACATCTGTGATAAATGTGGGAAGAGGTATTCAGACAAACGAAATCTTAAGATGCACAAATGCGTTTATGCCTCAACCTAACATGGTGATGGGCAAACGGTTTCAATTTTTGAGTGGCTTTTGTTGTTGTTTGCTTTGCTGATGAAGGAGAGCCTTGAAGCCTGGCATTTGAATCTCTAGGGAAACCCCCTTCAACTTGATTTTAGCCTGAGCAAAAATATATGGTTTATTATGAAATAGGATTTGCTGTCAGGAGTTAGGTGTTTTTGTTCCCATTTAAGCAATTATGAAAAGTAAACTAGTAAAACGCAGAAACCAAATATGCCTATGTTAAATAATGTAATGTTAGTGTATACTGTATATAATCAAGCAGCTTTTATAAGATAGGTTATTTAGCTTAAATAAGCATATAGCTAACATTTTGCAGCCTGAGATGTATTGATATAATTTGTAAAAAAGCCTGTAAAACTGAATCTGGAGTTTGGGCTATGAAAAAGTGGTAGGTTATTTATTGTTATAACAGAACCGCTCGGCTGACTAGTCTGTACTTCCAAAACATCAGTCTGCTTTTATTTATTGTTTACCACATGTACTTGTTTCTTAAAGACCCAGTGCAGTCCAAATAATGTTTTCCTGTGTTTATATCATATTGTACAACAGCTGATGAAACTAACACTGTAAAGGTGTGATTAAATAAAACATCAGTGTTAATTCCTGATAGTTGCTGGTTGAAAATACAATCTACACATTACCTTCTAATCAGCAATTTTGCATGGGTGGGAGTTTTGGCTTTCCATGGTGACATCAATATGAGGTAAATTGGTTAATAGACCAATTACAAAGCGTTCCAAACCTCTCTGCCAATAACAGCTAGTTTTCAGTTTTACCCACTCCCAGACAGTCCTAGCAAAATTCTTGCTTGAGAACTTTTTTTTTCTAAAAAGCAATTTATTTATTTTTTAATAGATCTATTACAGTAAGGTACTTAATTGTTACCCAGAAATGATTTGATATTGATATTTTAAAAAAGGCTGCATTGGGCCTTTAAGGTTTGCTTTCCACAGACTTGAATATTCAATTCTGACATTTATTATTTTATAACGTTTGTTATTTTATATACTTTATGATGTAAATGAGAGACAAATCAACACATGGTTGTATGTAGTGTGAGGGAACAAATTGGTTAAAAAAAGATCAGATTAAATTACAGGAATGTAATCAATAAAGACATGCAATGTTTGGCATTTCACCTGTGTGAATTGTGTTTCAGTTATGGATTCACATTCAAATGGTAACCATACTTTGTTGCCTTATTGTTGCCCAAATCACAGCTAATGACATTTGATGAATGAATGGTAAACTCAGTTGAGAAGTTGACATTTGCAGTTGCAGAACTTTTGGAGGCTCATTTTGGTGATTAAAATTGATTTAGTTTCGTTTTCATAGTTTATTTTGCCTTATTTATTTTGTATTATTTAATGAATTGAAAACGCTGTTAATCTAGACGTTACTCTGTGCTGTTGCAAAACTGGGTATTTGACATGTTCAAATAATACATCCTTTATTGCTTACAAAAAATATGATTATATTGCACCCTGGTGGTCTGGCAAATAACGTTTGCTAAAAGGAAAATACATTATTTCACTGCGAAGCATCATTATTACAGAAATGCTAACATTTTTTTTGTGCTATTTCTCACGTTGACGTAACATTTATTTTTTTGATAAGGGGAGGGTACGTTTATATTTCCAATGTCAGTGTCAGCTGTACCAGAGGCGGTGAGCGTGTAGTCTTCCTAGGCGGACTTGTTTCCTCCCACAATGTATCAATGCTCGCAGTTTTTGTCTAGGGTCAGATTTACGAGACTAGTGCCAGTGAGCATGTGGTTGTGGATGATTCAGCGAGAGTCGAGTCCAGTGAGCAGAGCAACAGAGTGAGCACTTGACAGCAGCAAGCTTAGCAACACTAGCTAGCTACTGAACAAGCGAAACAATAGTTTTTTTCGAACAATGAA